AATAATAATAATAATAATAATAATAATAATAATAATAATAATAATAATAATAATAATAATAATAATAATAATAATAATAATAATAATAATAATAATAATAATAATAATAATAATAATAATAATAATAATAATAATAATAATAATAATAATAATAATAATAATAATAATAATAATAATAATAATAATAATAATAATAATAATAATAATAATAATAATAATAATAATAATAATAATAATAATAATAATAATAATAATAATAATAATAATAATAATAATAATAATAATAATAATAATAATAATAATAATAATAAAATCTGCTTGTTCTCAGAGGCCCAGAGCCTCCAAGTGAGGAGCACCAACAGAAGTATTTCAGCCTAGAAGGCCAGAGTCACAGTCCAGGCGTCCTGTGTTACAAGGCCAGACAGCCACACTGCACACTTACAGTGCAGTTCTATAGAGGAATTAAGTATCCCCAAGCAAGTACTTCAGCTGTTTTCCCCTTCATTTCAAAAGTTTTGGTAAGATTGTCAGAAAAGCTAAATTATATATATTCTTAAATGGGGAAATTCCATCTTAAAATGTGTCAACCAAGCCATAGCAAGTTCTGCATTTCAGACTCAAAAGATCCAAAACTGTTAGTAAATTATAGTTTCTGAACATTTGTTTACGCAAGTCACATTCACATTGTGCCAGTTGTTGTGGGGGCTTCTTGCTAAATATACAATGAATAAATATATTCACTGTCGCTGCTCCCAGACTATGGAACTCCCTGCCACTGGAGGACAGGCTGGCCCCCTCTTTGCTGTCTTTCCACCAGCAGGCAAAGACTTTTCTCTTCAGGCAGGTTTTTCCCCTGAGTGGACTGGCTGTCTGAGAGAGGTTTTAAAATGGGATTGCTTGTGTTTTATTGTTTCTAGATCTGTTTTTAGTAATGCTTTTACATAACACTTTTAATATGTTATTAGTCCTTTTTAAATATTTGAATAAACTACTGCTTTTAACTTTCAGTATTGTGGTTTGAATAATGTAAGCCAATTTATGGCCTTTTTCAGGATAAAGGGTAAAAAATATTTTAAATAAATAAGAAAACAAATCTTCACGGGCTCAAAAACACAGGTGTGGCAAATAGTTGGATGTTCTATGACCCCTTAGCAAGCTCAGTCAGACATTTCCCATCAGTTTGAATGGAATGTCTTTCCAGCCACAGCAAACAAACGCTTTCAGTCTTTTTTCAGGTCCAATTTGTAATCCCAAGGGGAAAAAAAGGTTAATTAAAAAGGCCATCGTCTTGAAGTGAGCCTAATTATGTATATGACTAACTGCCTGGTGAGTCTTTGTAGCGATTTCGGTTAAAATTTGATTAATTAAAACCACACGCCTGCAAATAATGCATGCAAAGAACATGAGGTATGTCAAAGAGCACACCTCAAATTACAGGTGGGAGGCTGAGCTGGTAAGAATAGTGCTGGGCATTTTTACATGCTGACAGTTAAAGAGCCTCTAATTACTCCCTGCAGGCAGGCACTGGCTTAGGAGATGATGAAGCATTGTCTGAGTCTAGTCTGACCTACTAAAGAAATCGGGTAACTATTAATTACCTGCTCGTCAGTGTCTTTCTCTGTTGATATGAAGCTTGCAAAAGCTAAATTTGCTTACACAGCGGCTTTAAACAGCAGAATAACTTCAAAAATTTAGATATTTTCTCATATAGACCTGATTTCTTTAGTTAAGTTGCATTTAGCTGTCCATGTTAAGGTTTGTAAAGAGGTTGAGGCGTTAGCCAGTTTCAGAAGGTACTACAATAACACAATTAAATGTAAGACGTAAAACTAAGTATTGATTTAAGCAACAAAATATTTAACATACAGTTTTGAAAACATATCAGATTCTCCTTGTATCAGATTGTCTTCACACCCACACCATTACCCAAATATCACACTTTGGACAGCTTCAGGATTTCCAGAACTGTTCCCCTAGTTCAATATTCTCAGTGATTCTGTTTTGTCCCCCCCCCCACCAAATTGCTAAATCCATTTTGATAAAATGCTATACTGTATAAATAGTGGAACGACGTCCCACCTCATGCACAACACCAAAAGAGGGATCAAGATACACAGGGCTCAAGACAAAAGCTTTTATTTGTTTGCCCCCCACCTCGTCCTGTTCTTCGTGTTCTTGTTACAAAAGAGCATGGCTTCTTGTAAAAATAAGTCCACTTAGCAGCCACAGCAAAAGGACCATAAAATGAGTTCAGGAGCAAAAGGCTTCTCTTAGGCAAAGAAAAAGGAAGGTGGTTCCAGCTATGCACACGGGCAGGGAACAGAGGAGAATGTTTTTGTGACAGTTTTGTATGGCACTGTAGAAAAAAAAGAACGAGAGAGACTTTCGTATTTGCACCCAGAGCTGTCACTGGGCCAATGCAGACTCAAGCACCTTCCATAAGGTGCACAGTGCTGGGGAGAGCCATAAGGGTTAGAGAGAGAGAGTCCCCAGGACACTGTGGAATGCGACCCATGTTTCCCCCTCTGGTTTATCTCAAAGCAATTAAAAAAGGAATTTAAGGGAACGTGTGCAAATTCATCAGTTTTGACGAAAGTGATTACAGTGGAGAGTTCCCTTTTAAAGAAAGTTTTTGGAAAGTGTTACGGGGTTCCCCCTTTGACTTCTGCTCACAGAAACCAAGGCTCCTAATCGTACACCCATTCAGGAACACAAGGTAGCTCTTCCCAGAGCCTGCCCAGGAATCGCATTGCGTTACGGAACTGCCAGCCCCAGAGCAGTTCCGTAACACAATGCGAGTCCTGGGCAGGATCTTCACTCCACCGAGATGGAAAATCGGCGATTGGCCATCTGAAGTCACCCACCGGTGGTTGCACACAAGACTTCCTGACCTTGTCCTCAGGCTTCCCCCAACAGGAGAAGCTCTGGATCACACCTTCTTTCCAGGCGGCTTTGCTAGGGAGCTCAAAACAGCCACAGCGGGAGGAAGCCAGATTCTCAATCGGGGTGCGTCCTCTCTTGCCAACCTCAAAGGCGTCCGCTTCCAGCCACATCTCAAGGTCACTTAAACACTGGCCTCTGGGTTCTGGTAGTCATTGCTTCTCTCCTCTGTGATATTGGAGAAACCCAACCTGGAGACGTTTTCGTCAAAGGGCCCCTCTCCGGGCGGCCCTTCGTGGTTGAGTTCTGCTGAAAGGCAAGGGTGCACCAAATGATCCCAATACAAGCTGAGAGTTGACCGGTCCTGGTTTTCCAGCTCCTTCTGTTCATACATCTCTCGGGCACTGATCCCGGGGGTCTGAACTTCAAACGTTTTCTCAAACTTGGTGTAATCAACACGGAAGGCGCCTTTTTCCAGCGTCATGCAAGGCTCGAAACGGTAGCCCCACAGGATCTCATCTTCCACATACGACGTCCGGGCTTGACAAGTCATTCCTGGGGGGCGGCGGGGGGGGGTTAAGAAAAATTTTCAGTGGGCCAGAGGAATTGTAACTAACTCCAAATAAGCTGAACCTACAGTAAGACCTCAGTATCCACGAGAGATTGGTTCCAAGCCCCTGCGGTGGATGCCGAAAACCATGGTAGTATCAAACCCTAAATGTGTGGTCTCTGGCTCCGTCTAGTAACCAGTTGTGATAAATACACAACCTGGAAAGACCTCTAAATGCCAACTGCTATGATTTTATATTTAGCATTTTCTGGCACCATATAAATGAATCAGTGGATAGTTCTCCTGTGGATTAAAGGGATCTTCCCGAAATTTGGATACCAATGTGTTCTGGAGTGTTCTCCTCTTAACCTTCCTTTGACATCTACAGGGTCAGCCTGCCTTTTTGGGTTTCATGGGCCAACCGACTGGCAGAATAACAGCTTCACCCGCCCACCTCCATTTCCGGGACAACAATCAAAGCCTCATCCCAGCCACCAAAGTAAACATTCAGAGAGCACTTGCTAAAAAAATGTCCTTGGCACCATTAAATTTCTGTTTCTCAGTCGTGCTCACTTTTGCACGAACTTTCCCTACCAAGTTGACGCACGGAGTACCACCCACATGGTGATCAATCCTGCGAGAAAGAGGATCAATCACCATATCTGGGATACACGGTGACGGATCTCTTTCAACAGCCAGCCATTGATGTTTCTTCTTCCTAGAAACACTGGGAACTGCTAATTGTCATCTGAAACGGTCGGCCCCCAAGGACGCGGCCTTTTCAGCTGTGGCACCCGGTCTGTAGGATTCTTGCCCTGTGAAGACTTGTCTGACACCAGCGCCCTTCTTGTTCCCTCAGGCTTTTGGTCCATGATGATTTTTTTAGCCTTTGATGAAAGGGTGTTTAATTGCTACTCTTCTGTTGCCTATTTGGTTATTGACCTTATGTCATAAGCCATCCTCTCTACTCTCCTGGGTATAAAAGAAGAAATCATTTAAGGGCAAGATCTAGAACTGAGCGTGTTAGGTATGTGTTACATGTCGTCAACTCCGTTCGGGCTTATGGTGGCCTTACTAGAGATTCCAGAATATGTAAGAGGTTCTAAGAGTGGTTTTACCCATTCTACCACTGCCCAGTGAGTTTCCGTGGCTGAGCCAAGATTTGAACTCAGGCCTCACTGATCCTCATCCAACACTCTATCCACTACACTACTTCGCATTTTCTCCAGAGTTGAACCAGAAAGCCAACAGGAGGTTCCCCAAAGATACCTCAAGGCATTTTGGGGTGGGGAAGGATGGCAGGACCATCGAAACACATCTCTAGAACACGGCCATGGCTTCCCCAGATTTCCCCCAGTTTTTACCTCACAGCTTACCCACCTGTGGCTTCCACAATGCCTTCAAGGATGATGATGATTTCAAATTGCTCCTTCTTCAGTGCCTCTGCAGACATCTCCCAGAAAGGGCTGTTCTCGTTGATGATGTGGCAGATGATCTGTGGCTCCACCAGGAAGAGCCGGTCCTCCCCTGTATCGTAGCCCAAGTTGAGTTCTGACTGCTCCAGCGGGATGAACTCGCCTTCCTTGGTTTGCCGGGATTTAATCAACTTGGCCCTTATTTTTGCATCTACCATGTGGCTGTCGCGAAGGTCTCCGATACGGAACATGAGGCAGAGCTGATCATCCCGATGGGAGATCACGCACTTCTTGCTGAATATTAAGGTCTGGGCACGCTTCTTGGGTCTAGAGATTTTGACAAACATACACCCTACCATGAGGGCATCGATCATGGAGCCAATGATGGACTGGGCCATTAACAAGATAACTCCTTCCGAGCAGTTGGCAGTCACGATCCGAGAACCATAGCCAATTGTCCGTTGACTTTCAACAGAAAACAACAAGGAAGAGATGAAACTATCGAGGTTCTCGATGCAAGGTTTCCACTCCGGGTCACCTATATGGTTGACATCATCCCGTATCCAGGCATCAAAGTAGTAGATGATGGCAAAGACCACCCAGGTGATGATGTAACATATGCTGAAGACAAAGAGGAACCAGCGGTACTTGAGGTCCACAATGGTGGTAAAGATGTCCGACAGGAACCTCTTCTTTTCCTGAATGTTGCCCAAGTTCACCTGGCATTTCCCCACTTTGGTGACGTAGCGCTGCCTCTGTTGCTTGTTGCCCCCACCAAACTGCCGGTCGTCGTCCATGAGTTTACAGCGCCGGTTCTGGCCCCCCTTTTCGGAAGCCGGCGCGGAGATGACGCTACGGGTCGGTGTTTTGTTCCTCCCGGAGCTGATGATGTTGGGGGCGCTGAAAGCATACTGGGGATAGAGCCGTGCATTTAATTCCCGCAGAAAAGTCGGCGGAGGAGGATCCGTCCGGGATGACCGGTGGTATTTGGGCAGCTCCTCCGTGTTGATGGAGACACTGGGCCGGTGTCTGCTCGGCACCACCGCCTCCACGGTGCTGGGCCGCCTCTGGAGAAGGGCCGACCGGTTGTTGGGGATGTTTGAGCTGCAGGACGCAGAGACGTAGTTGCACGTCAGGGCACTTCGTTTGGTGGCGGTGGTTTCCGTTTGCTGGTGGCTCTCGTCTAAAGGGTCCATGGGGACGGCTATCATTTCTGGCTGCAAACAGAAAGGAACGCATTAAAGGCCATGATGTTGCTTCCTTCTCTGTCCTTCCTCCAAACACTTGTCAATTATTAGTGTTATTACTTGCCGTATTCACAAACGGGTTTTCCGCCTACACGGTCCACCCGAGAGAGGTGTGGTAAAATAACTGAATTAAAAACAGGACAGACTCCCAACTCTGAAGCCAAGTACCCAACTCACTGAGCTATCCAGTCAGCCTCACACATGCAGAAAATAAATACAGTAGTCAGGTCATGTATGTTTTATTTCATTGACCTGGTTCTTACAAGGCAGAGTGAGTCCTTAGTTATCTCACTGCCTATTTGACTCTTAAGGGGACTTGCAGGAAGTATGGTTATTTTTCATCAGTGCTCTAGTCATGAAACTCAACTTTGTAAGGGGGGGGCGCGAAAGAGTCCTATCTTCCTGGAGGAAACCCAGCGTCCCGATTAATGATTATAATCCTGAAATAGCCACCTTGGATGGACCACACAGCTAAATTTCTTTTTGATTTGGGATAAGGAATATCATAAGACCTAACTGGAGAGGAGCCTCTCACTTGACGTGAGATGCATCGGTCCCATGAAAGAAGGCATGGTCTTGAGTTTTCATGACCTCAGTAGAGCTCTGGATGACAGGACCTCCTGGAGGCCACTGGTCCTTGGATCCCCATAAGTCAAAAGCAACTTGACAGCAAATAACAGTGACCAGAATCCCACTGGGTGCCTCACCTTCTGGGGGAAGGTCCCGTAACTGCTCGTTTCTGTGGGAGGCCGAGGCAGGTAGGCCAACATGTGCTTGGCGGTGGGCGTCTTTGCAGGAGGAATGGAGTTTCTGCGGCTTCGGGACTCTTCCCATTTCGGCCGCCATTTGGCGTGGGCGGTGCGGGTGCAAAGGCCCCTCTCCGGCTGCAACTCCATGTTGCTGCTTGTAACAGGCAAAACCATGGTGGCTTCAACGCAAGGTTAACTTTGGGCTTTATGCCTCCTCCGGTGCGGGATCCTTCCAGAGAAGAAGACAAAAGAACAGGGAGGATTACTCTGCAGGGAAGCAAAAGGGGGCTGAAGCGTTTGGAAGACTCTAGCCGAAATCCCTTCTTGAGCCAGCCATGAAGCAGAACTGAGGACCCCAGAAAACTTCACCCATTGTGTTCAGCTCAAATCCTCTTGGGAAATCGGTGGCTTTCCAGGGATCCGATCCCACATTAAGGGAAAAGCTTATGACCTCCAGAATTCCCAGCATGTATTGCCAAACTTCACCCATTGTGTTCAGCTCAGATCCTCTTGGGAAATCGGTGGCTTTCCAAGGATCCGATCCCGCATTAAGGGAAATAACCTCCAGAATTCCCAGCATGTATTGCCAATGGTGAAGGAGTATGGGAGTTGTAGTCCCAAAGGTTTGAAGAGCCAAACGTTCACCAGCTGGGTCACAGGAAACTGAATCCTTGAACCCAGTACTCCACAGATAGGTTTACTGGGATAAGAAGTGGCATGTGTTTCTGGAGGTCATCATACTCCCAGAGCATTCAGGGAGATTCTCCTGGAGAAACACAGGCAGTTCGACAAGTTTCAAAAACTAGTTGTTCTAAGTATCCTGATTCCCAGTTCCCTCCTTGACAATGAGCTCACCAGGCAAGGGAGAGAAAGCCGGAGAGAAATGTTCAAGCTTTCCATGTTTACCCTCCTTTGCTCAGAGTACACCTGATTCAGGGTGAGGACCTCTTAAAGCACCAGATCCTCTTAAAGTCGAGCAAAGGTTGTTTCCAAAGGTTAGTTGGGTGGCCATCTTTGCGCACTGGAGCCAGGAGCGCTCGACTGCAGGAGAGCGGCTGCAGCTGTGGGAGAACAGATCCAGAGCGTTATCGGTCCCCAAATCACCATATTATTCAAGACTGTCACAGACAGCAGCTTCCATGGACACTAAATCGGTGGCCTCACCATCTTGGGTCCCCGGATGTTCTTGGACTGCAACTCCCAAAAATCATGGTCGGTGCAGCTGATGGCGAAGGCTTCCGGGGACCGTCATGTTCGGAACCAATATATTAAATGGATGCTAAGGAAAAGGCAATGTGCAAAATCCCCCATTCAAAGGTGGCAGGGAAACCCTTTGCCAAATGAGAAATTTGCCAGGCAGATTGGGAAGACTGACAGCCTAGGAAGCAAGGTGTGAATGCCTAAATGTCGGCTTTCCAAAAACGGCCCTCCCAAGAGGGCTGGCGTGCTGATCCGAACATTTACACATCTACATATATAAGTCTTCCCCAGCTGTCAACCTTTCGCCCAAAGAATGCTTGACGAGGGTCCTAAGAATCCCTCGTCCATCTCATCACCCTCGGCAGATGTCACCCAACTGAGTAATCCCCCCTCTCCGGAGACAGAGAATGCCTATTTAAGTAGCGGCGGGTGCCTCTGTTTGCCTGCAGACTCCCAGCTGGGAAGCCCTTCTGCTCCTGGCTGGAACTCGCCAGGGCAAAACAGGCCAGGAGCTAAGTCGTCTGGGTTCTGGGGAGGAGAGGAATAACCTTCCCCTTGAGCTGATCCTTCTGCAGTGGCCTGCCTTTGTGCCAGATGGTGCATGGGGTGTGTGGGTGTGACAGACCGAGCGAGCGAGATCAAGCCCGGGTTTCCCCATGCTGGCGAGGCATCGGCTGTGTTGAAATAATGGATTTACAGCCCAGTCTGGGGGCATGCCCATTGTTTGTTTGGGGTGTAGGGGTGACAGTATAATAGCAGATGGCTAAGCCCATTACATGACATAATAGCCTTGTTGATGCTACAGGAAGGCTGTGGGCATCAACAGCCTTCCTTCCCAGTCGAAGGGAGTCTGGGCTGGTGCCAGCTGGGAGGAGGAGGAGGAGGACGATGACAGGGACCGGTCAAGAGAACCTTCTGCCCATGAGGCACGGCTTGACCCCAGCGTGCCAGAGCACTTAGTCACAAAGCTGGTTTAATTTGACATCCAGACACGGGACCTTTGCATAACTGAGCACTTTCTTCAACATGCTGGCATCAAGTAGACAGACAGACAGACAGACAGACAGACAGACAGACAGACAGATAGATAGATAGATAGATAGATAGATAGATAGATAGATAGATAGATAGATAGATAGATAGATAGATAGATAGATTTTGAACCTTATGCAAGGAGGTCTTTGAGAGGAACTGCCTGTGTCTTGAGGGCAAGGGGGAAGCCTGCCACTTAATGATGGAAAAGAGCCAAGCTACCTGCACAAAAGCTACCTCATTGTCTCCATCTAGTTCCTTTTTATTATACAATTTATATTCTACCTTATATAGAGGAATCGTTTGCTTTTGGGGGAATAACATATATGTTATGGACTTATATTTCAAACTGTGTAACAAGTAGGACCAAAGTTACTTTACTGGAGCCCCATTTTGAGTAATGCTTTCTAATGACTTTTCAGAGTTACTTTTTAGCTGGCTTTTGAGATGCATTTTAAAAGATTTGTGTTATCCGGTTATGAGTCCTACAGCTTCCCCCCCCCCCATTTTCTTAAGAGAAAGGTAATTTTGGAGTAGCCATCCGTGTCTCTGCTTAACCTATTCTTCAGGGAAGAAGGCTCCTAGTACACAGCACAAATATGAGTGCCCAGACACTTCATGATTGAGATGGGGGGGTACCACGCAGGCGTTTTGGGGTGAAGCCTCTCCTTCCGCAGCCAAGAATGCACAGCTGGTTGAGGGGCAAGGTATTCATTTTTAAGAAAATGCAGAGTGACACATGCATGGAAGTGTGAGTTTGAAAGCAAATATGGGTATGACAGCAAGCGAGCGTTTGGGTCTCAGGGTTTAATGAAGGCCTGAGCAAAATGTGGGCTTCCCACAGCAACTGGATTGACTCTCAGCCTCGCTTGCCATTGATGATGCTGGTTAGAGCTGACAGATGTTGTAACCCAATGGTACCCGGACAGCTGTTTACAGAGGCATTGGGCATCTGTGAATGGAGCCCTCAGTCTCTTTACATTTTTTTTTTAAATCACAGCACAAAGGACTGGGGAGCAGTACTGAGGTCAGGTCTGAAAGTCTGACGCTGGAGACTTTTGACCCCAGAGCCCTCATCCCGAGAAAAAATAGCCTTCTCAAATGCTATTTGCTACATAAAGATAAACTTCAGTTAAAAAAAAAAATTCTAAATGGTGTAGGTCATCCTATAGAGCCACGTTTTTAGGTCCCCTTTACAAGAAAATTAAAAACTTGAAGACAGGAGGAAGATCTAAATCTCCCTGTAGACAAGCTGCTTTTCCTTACTCCATCGACTGGGCCCTTCTAGCCCTTCAGTTTTTTAAAAAAATTTCTAAATGTTGTAGGTCATCCTACAGAGCCACGTTTTTAGGTCCTCTTTACAAGAAAAATAAAAAATTGGAAGGGAAGACAGGAGGAAGATCTAAATCTCCCTGTACACAAGCTGCTTTTCCTTACTCCGTTGACTGGGCCCTTCTAGCCTAAGCTGTCTAGGGATGATGGTGGCAGCCGTGCAAAATTTCTGGAGAGGATGGCTTCCCCTCTGAAGATTGGGAGACACAACCGTTCACATGGAAATTCCACGTGACTGCAGATTTGGGTGGAGTGAGGGTTTGGCTCTTACATCCCGCTCCCAGTTTGCATCCTTCAAAGCAACCAGCAGGTCAAGAGGGCATGCATGGAGAATGGGCATCATTTCCATGGTTTCCTGCAGGCATCACCCGTCTAGGACAAGATAGCATCTCGTCCCTGGGAAACAGAGGAGAAGGAAAGGGGGAAACTCTTGCAACTCTGTCCCAATCAGCTTTTGTCCATTGCCTGGGCTGCTTAGCTGTGCTTGGAGTCATAATCCTCATTGCCACAGCTGTTACGAAATACCCAATTCCTGGAAATCTTCAGCAGTGAAAATGCCAGGCTGCCACATCAGGTGGGTGCGGGGGGGAGGGTGTTTGGCAACACTAGGTTGGGTGGCTTCCTCTGGAAATCTGCAGCATAAAGTAGAGCCATTAGTTTGGCCCCCAATAATCAATGGGATGGGATTCTTTGGGGTACATAGGAAAGGAGAGAAAAGGGTGTCAGACATGGCCCTTTGATTGTCTTTTCCTTCAGTATTTCAGAAGGTCTAGACAACTCAGTATTCCAACCATCCTTAAACAGCCCTTTAGGATCTAAATTATTGTCACCATAATGTGGCTGGTAAACACAGCTTGGAAAACTTCCATTGTGCGGACAACGTTGTCCCACGGTCTCCTCCCAAGACGGCCACCAGCCTCTAGGAAGCCTATCAGCAGGGCAGGGTGGCAAACATCTGTTTCTCTTTCCTGCACATCTGGCATTCTCTGCAGGAACCCATGATGAAATATTGCAGAGCACTCCGTAGGTTGAGGCTCTAAGTCAGCCGTACGTATGCTTGAGAAAAAGACCGCTGAAAACCATAGGGTGTAGCTTGAAAACATGGCCGCAACCCCTTGCACAGGTACCTGGGAGGAAGCAACAGGGGAAACAATGATGTGTGTTTCCAAAGGAAAATGTGCAGGTGTGCACAGCAATTCTGCCATCATTGCTATAACAGATTGGATTTGTCTCCAGTGTGGAAGGGATTGTCACTCTCGAGTTGGCCTTCTCAGGGGTGTAGCTTGAAAACATGGCCGCAACCCCTTGATGTGTGTTTCCAAAGGAAAATGTACAGGTGTGCACAGCAATTCTGCCATCATTTCTATAACTAAGCAACAGGGACATTGGAAAGTCCAGGGAATTCTGCATAGGGACCCAAGTCTGTAGATATTTTCAAATTTTACCAGCCCGATGAAGAGAATTATGACGAATATGCTGAACAAATCTAAGTCCCAGACATTACGAAATGTCAGACCTGTCACTTGAAGTGGCTGCCTTCTTCTGAATCATAGTAGGTGCTGGCCTTGCACTGAATTATTCTAAGGTAGTGACCCCCATCTCCCTTCTTTTAAAGAGATGAGGCATCTTTTGGAAGGCTGCTCAGACCAAGGCCAATTTGAAGAGAAAGGGTCAAATGAAGGAAGACTGAGGCCTCTGACGTCCCCATCAGGGTTAGCAGCACTTGGACAGGAGACTCAGCAGGCTGTAAGTTACCTGCTGACTCTCCTTCCTGGTCAAGGAAGCATTCAAGGTCTAAACAGTACCCCCCATTTTATGTCTGTGTATCAAATGTCAGCATGAGTCATTTCATGGAAATCAGGGTCCTCTTTTGGGTGATGTACAAGGGATCACTCTCAAGTCAGCTGCTTGGAGAGCACATATCTCACAATGCTAGCCTGGCGTTGTGGGGACTGTCACACAGGAACTGGGGGGAGAGGACGGCTGTACAAATCCCTACTGGGCCATGATGCTCAGTGGGTGACTTTGGGGCAGTCACGCGGCAACCTATCTCATAGGGTTAGTAGGAAGGCAAAATAAGAGGGCACCATTTGTTCAACCTTGGGCTCCATGGAGGAAAATTGGAGAATAAATGCAACCAACCAACCAACCAACCAACCAACCAACCAACCAACCAACCAACCAACCAACCAACCAACCAACCAACCAACCAACCAACTGCACACCAACTGCGAGCAAACACCTGGAGACAAATTCCTTGTCTGTGGCCCTTTTTCCTGCCCTGCTCACCTTTTGTTTCTCTGCAGGGTGCACACCTTGTATGTGAACGGCCCCAGTTCTACACTGGGCACAACCAGATGTGCCCAAAGATTCACAGAAGGAGCCTCTACCCATTTCATGGAGATCAGCAGATCACCGCATTGGGTGGGCATTTCCCCTCAAGGAAAAATAAAGTGTGCATTGGAAGCGAGCGGTCTGTGCGGTTTATTAAAAACACCCCCTGCGGAGTAATCGGATGCATTTCCCCCCATCTTGCTGGCTTTGGTGGAATTAACTGCCTTGCAAGTGTGCGTAGGACGGCAGCCTTAATTTTCTTTGAAAATCAATTGCTACGCTCAGATTAACATACTGCAAGCAGAGAATGACTTGGCAATGTGAGAGGGAGGTTTGTGCCTCAGACAGTGATGCTTGAGGAGAACATAGGTATGTGCTAGAAACAGCCCATCTTTGGCAGGGCATTTTCATGTATTCCTATAAAACCTATAGAGATCCTCCAAATTCAACAAGTATACCCTAGGGCTTTTATTTTGCTTTCTTATGTCTACCAAAGTGAAACAATAAGCCTCTCTAAGAAGTGAAGTGCATGAACGATGCACTTTAGAAGTGTTAATAGATTGCACTTTCAGAAGCCTCTCTAGCATACACTACTTTGCAGGGTTGTTGTGATGAGTGGAAGCAAAGGGAAAAAAAAAAACAAGATTTAGATTCCAAAAGCAGGCTTTGACTCTGGTTGAGATTCTTATCCCAGCCCGAGTCAAAGCCTTCTTTGGGAATATATTCAAGATCAGAATCCAGAATAGCCCAGGGAGGTACTAAGAGCATTTGCCACGAGGTTGTTCCTCGGCTGAAGGACCTCCAGAGAAAGGAATGATTATATAGAGACTGAGACACCTATTACCTAAATGACACAAGGTAATAGGAGCTCCTCTAAAATCTGCACAGGAGCTACGGATGGCTTGCCCGTCCATAGATGGAGGAGACCGGAAGAGGCATTTTTTCTCCATCCAACAGAAGAAACACAGTCTCTTCTTCCCACGCCTGCATCTCTGGACCAACCTGCTTGAGATTAAAAGGAGCTGGGGTGTGCGTGGGAACCCCACCATTATACCCTGACCGGGTGGTTCTCAACTTATGTGTTGCCACCACTCATTTTGTCAAAGACCCTGGTTCCCACCATGAAAGAAATAAACCATTCTTTCTATTAAGACCACACCATGCACTCTGTTGTTGCCTTTCTTATTTAGGGTCAGTGTTAAGGACATAAAAACTGCAGTAGAAACACAAGCGAAGGAAATCATTAGTAGAACATTGTAGTGATACAGTTGGGTATAAATAAAAAAAGCAAGGATAATGATAAAAGATTAAAAACTTGCAGTAGCCTTACTGGCAGATAATTCAACCAAGCAATCATAATCACCATCATCATCCCACAATTTTGTGCTATGGAAACTCCTCTAGTTGACGTCTATGTCCCACCGGTGGTGTCGGTACCGATATTTGAGGATCACACTCCTGATCCAGCTGTGTGATAGAACGGCTGCTTCGTTCTCTCTTTGTTTGACTGCACCCCAGCGCAGAGACCTTACAACGGAGATCCAACCGGTCTTGCACCCACAGCCGTTGACCAGCGGCCAACCTACCTCATCTCTCCGGTGACGGAGGGTGCCGAGAGGGCCAGGCTGGATGAGTCCCAAATCCCTTTGGCTCCCGGCGGTGGCTCTTGGAGGCCTCCCTTTCCCTCCGTCCACTGGGCTTATGGCCGGATCTCTGGCGTGGGGTTCATGGTGCTTCCCGGCACCTTTCCATGGGTCCTGGAAGGAGCGCAACTGCCGCTTCCTAGATCGTACCTTCAGCGCTCATGGGGAAGAGACGGAGGGAGACGGGCGGCAGGCTTCCAATCCTATCCTGGCAGAAGAAGGTCACCCGATAATCTATCTCAATGACACGCAGAATTACCTCAAGATGATTTAATCAGAGAGGCCTGGGCAAGGAGTGGAGAGACGGGCCAGGAGGCTCCGGGGCCCACAGGGTTAATCTCTTGCAGAGCTTCTGTCCTGGAGAGGGAACCGCATAGGAGGTGGCCTGTGTGTTGGTGTGTGTGTGTGGGCAGAAGGGACCCCTTTCCCCCCCTGCCCACATCTGCTACTATTTGCTCTAGCTCTTTTAGCAACCGCAGCGCGCTGTGCATGGGACACAGAAAATGCAGGACCCCGCTAGGGTCACGGGCTAAAAACACAGCCACACAAAGCTTAAAAGGAGAGACTTTGGGATGTCTGCCCTGTGCATCCCAGGGAAGTCTGGTTCATGTGTTTTGCTCCGTTTTCTGGCACCCCCCCTTTCACCCCACAGTCCCCCATTTCATACATAGATCTTGCCCCAGAATAAGAAAAGCTGCCCTACACAGACTGGCGGTCTGTCTAGTATAAGGTGGGATCTACCCTGGCAACATATCTTTAGGATCTCAATCTTGCCTGATACATTGGTTCATTCTTTATCATTGTTATCATCGATTTACACCCGATCTTTTCCCCTCCAGCAGGACTCCACAGACCGCCTGCTCCTTTGGATGGGCAACAGCAGGAACCGAGCTTCTGATCTTTCGGAGAGACTTTCCCCCTGGGTCAATGGTGAGACCCACGGCAGGCAAGTCTTCTTTGGGTGGCCGCCCCAAGGGAGGCCCATAAGTCATCGACTAGGAGGAGGACCTTCTTTGTGATGGCCCCGATCCTGTGGAACCAGCTTCCGGAGGAGCTTTGCCTGGCCCCCTCCCTGTGGACTTTCAGGAGGCCATGGAAGACAAGTGGCTTTTCAGGGAGGCATCATGTGGACCCATGTGGACCACCTTTTGTCCACCATTTTGTTCTATAGTTTAGCACACATCTGGCTTTACGGGTTAGTTGCTATCCTGGTTTTCATTAGTTCTAGTTTTATCTTGGTTTGTTTTCATTTTTTAAAAAATTGTAAGCCCCCCAAAGTAGTGCTTTGGCACTAATGGAGAGCGATATACAAACTTATCATAAGTAGTATAACAGACAGACAGACAAACTTACTTTGGCTTGTCCAACTGGCCTCCCTCTGACTTGCCCCCCCCCCATGCTCATCAAGGCCAGACCTACCACCGCTAACTTAGGCTGCCGATTTGAAGGTATGTTGAGGAGAGCAGCAAAGTTGATCATCCTTCCCATCACCACAAGGATCTGTGCAGTGATGCCTCTGAGGGGGTCCTTTTGGTGGCGGTGGGTGCTGTGCTTTTCCCTTCCTTCTGGTTGCGCTTTGAAATGGCTTTGATTCAGTGTTTGTTGTTTATCTAACTTACCTGGGAGGGAAATGGGATATAACTTACATGACATTAAACTAACTGGCAATAAATACCAACGGTGGCCGTTTCTTTTTCCAGTGTGATGTTGGCGGAGTCCATTTCCGCCTAGAATCAATTTGAGTTTATAAAAGTTACCTTTGGGGCTGCAGATTCCAGCATCCCGGCCCAGACTGAGGTCAGTCTCATTGGTACATTCTGGAAAATGTGACTATTCCAGGCTTTAGAAATGCATGCAGGACAGAAGTAAATTGGGGGGGGGGTGTTTCCTGTCAACCCCCTGGCGGGAGGGGAATTCTGTCAGGAGAAGCAGGAGACCTTTTTTGAATGCATAACAATGAGACTGTCCATTTCCTTCAGCAACAACAGCCTCTCCAGAGTGACCGGATCCTAACGAGATCCTTGAAGAACCAAACCGGGGTGTGAAATCCAACCCACAGCTGCCTCCGCTGTAACTTTAAAACAACCACCTTCCTGCTTCCTGCCTCTTTCCTGACCTACACTTAAGAAAGACATGCCTGGAAAAACCCATCACGCCGAGAACTTATGGACTTTACATCTCAGAGTAACTTCATGACTAAAATCCATCTTGCCGTGAACCTTTGAGCTTTGGGTCCTTGCTTTGAAGAAGTGGGATTGACTCATGAAAGCTGGCATATTGCTTTTTTTTTTTTTTTAATAGTGGCCTATCTTTTCCCAAGTTCTGCCATTCCTTGTAAGGCAGCTTTGAAAAGGACATTGCATCTCCGGCTGCAGGAGAGATTGGAGTCCCCCCCCCCCGGCTGCCTCCTGCCACCATTAAAACCTGCCACATGGACGCTACGGAAAATGCACGGACAGAGAGGCCACCCCAATCCTGGCTCCAGCAGGCCTCTGTCTTGATTTCTCGGCCGGGAGAAGGGAAAGGGATTCCCCGACTCTTAACTGGGATTTCCTCATCCACCCCGGAAGCCATCATCATCAGCTGTTCCTTTCCAGAGAAGGGAATCTCTGGTTGCTAGGAGACCAAAACCAAGCTCCCCAGGGAAGCACAAATACTCAACCGGCTTAAGATATGGGGTGATGGGACCCAACGCCTTGTAAATCACTTGGGGGGTCTGGGCGTTGCTCTCAAGCACAGACAGGAGACGGGGAGGGCCGGAGAATCCTGGCTTCATACAGAGCGGTGGGTTATAAATAGCAACGGTTAACCTGTTGGTATATATAACTGCTTAGCTGGGGTTGTAAACGGCTCGAGGTTTATTAATATACTCAGAAGATTTTCCTTGCTTAGCCGTGCGCTGCCCGAGTTCAGGTAAACTAGAGGTGCTTCCTGATTTCGGCTTTCGTTGCGCAATCCTGCTCCGCCTGAGTCATCATCATGGCATGCTCAGGAAACTTGCTGTGAGTGGATTCTGAACTCAAAAGCTCAAGTCTTGTCAATGAAAAAACATACAACACTATGGTTTATATTTAACCACCAACTTAGCAGGAAGTCTGTCCCCTTAACACACAAGGCTCAGATGATGATCCTCAATGCAGCTCACATCATCTTTGATTTAGACATTTCCTCCCCTAACTAGTCCATGTATTAATTCTAAGCTTTTGGAAGACCTAAAACTGAGCAGCCTTGACTCCTGACATCCGACTTGACAGCAAAAGTGGACCGATGAGTAAAAAGATGGGATTCATTAATCCCCCAATCAGGATGATCCCAAATCCATCCAACCTAGATGACTTCGGGCCCATCCCCCCTTCCTGCCTTGCAAATCTCTGAATGGAGGAACAGATGGGAAAACAAGGAAGCAGAGACGCTGCCAGGGTTGGGGGCGGGTGGGCGGACATGTGTTTGTTTGGATGAGTTTCCAGGAGCGGGGGCTTCATCATCTGCGTTCATGAGAACCTAAAAACAAGACAGTAGCCCAAGAAGCAGCAAGGAAAACCGTTGCTCTTCCCCGTTTAAAGAAAGGGTTCGGCACCTCCTCTGAGACCATCTGATTTCTGTCTACTAGGATCCGACTCTTCTTCGTAAGATCTTTTTTGTTGGTGAGAAAAAGTCAGGAAGCCGCTTTCTCCCTGTTAAACAGAACAGGGCACTGCCCGCCCCTGGGGTGCATCTCTCTCCCATCCTTGATCATCTTCCTCCTTTCCAGATCATGATCCGCGCCCCAAAGGCCACCAGCCCCGTCTGTCTGAAAGGCAGTGGAGGAGGGAGAGAAACGTGGTGAAGCGGGACTGAACAAACAGGCAGATATTTTTGAAAGGAGGAGCGGCAAACAGCCTCCTCGCCAACCTCCTGATGCCCCCTCTCCATGCCCTGGCCCTGAGCACGTTTGGGCCAGGCAGATTTTGTCAACTGGAGTCTTGTGCGACAGAAAGCTGAGTTAAATCGCACTCCTCGCCTCTGCTACTTTCCTTTGCTTCAGTGCATCTTTTCTCAGGCATTTGCTACACCGGTCCGATTCCTGCCTGTTCGTGGGCTGGCTACAAAGGGGCTGGCTGGCTGCTTAATTCAGGGAGCATCAAGGCTGTGCCAGGATGTGTCCTTTTTAATGGGGAAGTGAAACTGACCAGACATGAAAAAGGATCCTGGTCACACCCAGGAATCCAGTGGTGTCAGCACCGACAACAGCTCCTCCTGCACTGGTTTAGCAACAAGCACTTTTGAGGCCAGCCGATCCGCCGCATGCACGCGCGGCCCTGTGAGAAGCTGCGGGAGCGTCCCTGTCCAACTGCACCTGGAGAAAAAGACGCACCGTCTGCACGCAACGAAGTGAGCATGCCTATGCGCTGCAGGACCGTTGCTCAGCTCGGGGGATTCATTCTCTCCCTCTTCGGATGGGTCTCCTCGTGTGCCACAACTTCTGTGCCTCTCTGGAAGAGCCTCAACCTGGATCTCAACGAATTCGAAGTTTGGAACATGGGCCTCTGGCAAGTCTGCGTGGTTCAGGACGAAAGCGTCATGGAGTGCAAAGACCACCCGTCTCTCCTGGCCCTCCCTTGGGACGTCAAGCTCTCCCGGGTTCTGATGGTCGCCTCCAACCTGGTGGGCTTCCTCGCCTTTTCCCTTTCCGTCCTGGGGTCCAGCTGGCTGAGGACGAGAGGCCAGAAACCAGGGCTGAAAAAACGGCTCGGCACGGCGGGAGGGATCCTCTTCTGCCTTTCTGGAATAGCCACCTTGGTGCCGGTCTCCTGGGTCGCCTACAACGTTGTGCAAGAATTCTGGGACCAAGCCTTGCCCGAGATCATCCCAAGGTGGGAGTTTGGCATCGCATTGTTCCTGGGCTGGTTCGCTGGCTGTTCCCTTGTACTCGGTGGGTTTCTGCTTCTCTTCTCTACCTGTTTGCCAGAGTCTGAAAGGCCGTTGGGAGAGGTAGCGGCCAAGCGGAAGCAAGAGGTGCAAAGGCTGCCCCCCATGTCAAATCATCATCAGTATTCACCCCCTGAGAATGCATACCTTACCATCTAAACCCTGGACCTCAAGACCTGCCAAAACCAGAAGGGAGACTGTTGAAACGATGGTTTATGACTGACGAGTTAAGATTATTGAGTTGCAGTTCGATTCTTTTAAAGGATGTTTTAAATGGGAAATAACACCAGGCGGAAAACTACCGGTGTGTACCGTCTGTGTTGCCTTACAAGTTCAAAGGTAACATGAGAGATTCTTCCAACCAAACATTTTTATCTGGAGGACTCAAGCTTGGTGTATGGAAATAAAAGTTGTTTTCCTTCCAATATTTTTGAGTGCAACACATTTGCTGTGGAGGGTTGAGGAAGGGAGAGGGTCCCTGAAATCAAATCTGCTCTTCTTAACAAGGCTAAACAGTTCTCCTTCCTCATAAATTGGGTGCTTATGATTAATAAATTACACCTCTTGACCATTAAGAATTTCAGTTAAAAGGGATGGAGTGCTGATGGGCGCCAAGCCAATGTCAACAGCCTGAGAAACTTTCCTTTGGGGATGGATGCCAGACGTCAAGAGGCACTTGAGGATTCACAAAGAAGCCCAGAAGCTTCTTGGTTCATATTTGCTTTTCACAAGATGGGGGGTCAGAAATGGCTGGCCCTTGAGACAGGCTGGCCCTCATTTTGCAGGGGTGGGAGAGGAACCATCCTTTAAAAAGAGCAAGGAAGGGCTCAGGCCTATCACATCCCATGGCTAGTCAAGCCTCCAACTGGCCTCCCCAGAAAACAGCTTGGTTCTAGACAGGTCTACTCAGAAGTCACCCTGATTAAGTTTAACGGGACCAAGTCCATGAGCACAAGATTTCAGACCGAATCGGGGCATTCATTCTGAGCAATCACTGAGAACAGAGTCCAGTGGTCGGCCCTGCATAGACAACAGGTCAAAGAGCTGTCATTTGGAAAACAGTCCCAGTTTAAAACAACTTCTGTCATCGGTACTGATCACCAGCTGATGAATTCCTTTCTTTAAGAGATGCTGGATATATACAGGTCATAGATCGCACAATATACAGGCATCGTTCTTCTGAATTCCTCTTGAATAACTTCTAGAAGTCCATCAGATTCAAGCCGACAGGGTTGTAGAGTAGGGGAAGTACGGCCAAATTCAGACATCAAGATTCTTGATCTTAATCTCAGAAATGCAGGGACCTTCTGGATCACAGAGGCGGCCATGTGGGGAATCGGGACGCCCAACCTCTGGCTCTGCAGCATAGCAGTTTATCCCACACTGGGAGGTCAGTCTTGGAAACCAGCCGAGAACCAGCATTACAGGCTGCAGCACGAAACGCCTCTTCTGTGGAGGTGCTAACCCGGGTGGTCACTGTGAAAATGACTTGCTACTGGTTGTCACTCATTCCTCCCAATGACCACACGGCGAAAACAACAACAACACGAGAGACCCAAGAAGCATCAAAGAAAGCCACTCCGGGTTCAAACAGGGTGAAATACTTTATCGCGCTTTAAAACCAGAAAAAAGTCTTATCAAATAGGCATTTCCATTTACATCCCAATCTCAGTTTAATTAAAATCCTAAAGGCAGCTTAAAAAATATTTGGAGGAAAATTAGGCCGGTTAAAATGTATGTCCTTTAAAAACCGTTTTGGCAATTGGCCCTGAAGGAGATCCTCCTCGGGAGGGTCGGGGGCAACCCTTCCTCGCAGGTTTTATTTCCCCTCCTCCTCCTTCTTCTTCTGTTGCGCTGGAATGACTCCTCTTGCCTCCGCACAATGTCCCCGTTCCCTCCCCCAAGGAGGAAGTCACGGCAGCTGTATTTTGAGTCGCTCACGGACACGTCCAAGACAGACACGAAGGCCTGCATTACGTGCGCCAGGCAAGGCGGTCAACGTCTTCGGTTAGATTTTAACTCCAGAAGCAACTTGGAAAGGCCTCAACTTATAAGCGGTTTTTCCTCCAGAGGTAAAATGTGTGCATTATTTAGGACAGACCCTCCACCCCCCCCAAACACATATGACTCAATTTGGCTTACTCCCTGAACTGGTCCTGTTCTGAGACCCAATCTGAACAGGATAGGGACCATGGGTTCAGAGTCCCCCCACACACACACAGTGTTCCACATTGGCCCTGTTGCATTTAAACGCACCCCCACAAGCAGGCCCACATGAATGCAGTGTTGATGTCCCAGTGACAACACGGCAAGCCGGATGCTATCACGTCGAGGACACGTCGGTGGGCCAGCCTGCATCCTGAGTGCATTTACAACGCTAACAGGGTGTGCATCGTCCAAAAGCAAACCACCGTCACCACCATCTCTCAGATGGGCACCACAGAAGTGAATATGTACAATCGTCGGTTTAAAATTGCACACTTCTAAACAATAACGTGATTAATAATCCCCTCCACCCGGTGAGTGAAAGAAAGGAAAGGCAAATGCTGTCACAGGCCAAGGGACAACATTTGCAAAAACCTCAGTGCAAATTCCCGCTCAGTGGCGCATCGTGCAGAGCGCACACCCGAGGGAGCCCTGTTTCTTGGAACCCTTCTCTTAAGCACACAGAGTCGGGGGGTTGGGTCTGGATATGGATTGCCTGAGGGTAAAATCGCTTCTCTCCGATTCCTTCCAAGAGTGACTGGTTGCTGGATTCCAACCCCCGCCCCCAACATCCCCAGGAGGTCTGCGGTCTCCAGCATCTGGATCCGGCTGTCTCGGGACCTCCTATTTCACGGCTACAGCCGAGGCCCTGTGAATGGACTCCATCACGGCTGCAAAGCGGCTGCAGAGGTCGTAGGGCGAATTGGGACGGATGGTGGGGGGTTCTCTCAGCACCACCCCCTCGGAGGAGCAATCAAAGAGGCAGGAGAGAAGTTCGTTCAGCTTCAGTCGCAGGTCCTCTGTAGGAGGAAAAGGAACGGACCATTACGATGGGGGCAAAAAACCAAAAAATCCTCAACAGCAGCAGCCGGTATCATTCTGGCTCTGGCTGAAACCCAAGTTTCCTGAAGTCTAGAGAGAGGAGCAGAAAGAAGAAACCGGCAGAATGGGATATGGGTTGACATCAGGGCTAAGCTGGGTGACTGGCCAGCTTCCAAACTCCTCTTCCAGGTGGGAAACCCAGGCTCCCGAGTTAAAGGATGCTGGCTGTCACACACAACGACCCCCCCCCCCCAAGGGTGGAGATAGGCAGTGTTCATCAGACATCCAGGAGAGGCAGCACAGGACGAACCGGTGCAGTGCTCACGAAAAGCATGGCAGCTGAGAGGCAAGCCACCCTTCTGCACAGCTGCACGTAGGTCTAGAAACTGGGGAAACCGCAAGATCCCGTCCTTCTGAACGCGTTCACGTACGGCAGCGGTTCCCAGCCTTGGGTGACCAAGGGGTTCTTGGACTGCAACTCCCAGAAATCCCGGCCAGCGGAGGTGGTGGTGAAGGCTTCTGGGAGTTGCAGTGCAAGAACACCTGGGTTACCTAAGGCTGGGACCCCACTGTGACACAGTAGCACAGCAAGGCAGGGTCCTTCCGGGAAGCTCTGCAGCCAAGGAGCAGGAAGATGCATTAGAGGGCAGCTTCACGCCTCCAGCCGCTTTCCGGTGGGTCTTGAGAAACGGGCAGAGGTGGGAGATGGAAAGAGGCCCGTTCGCAGCCCCTACGGAGGCGATCTGGTGGGCGGACTCAGATTCCTCTCTTACCATTCATATCTTTTGCCATGTAGTCGCACCATTCGCCTCTCATGAGTTCAAGGGCTTCCAGGTCGTCCTGGGAGAGATTACTCTTGATCAGGAGGTGCATGCAGGGTATAATCAGGTCCTTCAAGAGCTTCACGCCTTCGTCCACGTTCAGCTTGTCGCCGCTTTCCAGCAGAGTCGCCGCAGCTTCATTCAACTTCTGTAAGCAAAGCCAAACAAGAGAGAGGTGTTCACGGCTGATGCTCCTCCTCCACAGCACTCCCTCCCCCGGGGTTTAGGGCTGCCTGCGAGGCTGTGGTGAGCTTTCAAATGGGAGATTTGGGGAACGGTTTGGGTTTCCCGAGCAAACAGGAGAAAACGGAGACCGCTCACATTTCTTCCCTTCCCATGGAAATGGACTCGCAAGGAGAAGAGAGACGGCAAATGTCACTAAGCGAAATTGCTGCACCCCAAGGGGAACTTAGGAGAGAGACCTCGCACGTCTGAGAAGGCCCAAGAGAATCAAAACCTGGAAACAACAGAGGAAGGAGCTTCCACTGCTGAGGCTGTGAGTCCCGCTGATTGCAGGGGGCCATGTGGGTTTTCTTTTTTGAAAAAAGATGCCTACGGACAATTCAGGTTTAAAAGGGAAGTCAAACAGAACTGTCTGAACGTGAAAGTAAGGCGGAAAATCCAAAAGCAGGGATTTGGAAGCTGCTCATCTGGGTCAAGCAGCTTTGCTTGGAAGGTGTCAAAAAGGGAGAAGGGGGGCGACGCTTTTCGTACATACCAGGAGACACTTCCTCGTGTAGAGCGCGATCAGAGATGCATCGGCCCCTCTGTTCGGTCCTTTCGCCTGCAGGGCCATGTTGTTCTGACAGGCATGGATCAGGTAGGACACAGATTCGTAGTACCTTGGAGAAAGATAAGAGGTTATCGCTGTCGAACGCTAGCATTTCCATCATTGCGCCGCACCTGGGTTGCAGTTTTCGCCCCCTCCAGACATGCTCCTGCCGTCTGGTTGACCCTGTCCAGAAAAGAGACCGTTCTGGAGCATAAATACATGCAGGGAGAGGAGGAGTGAAAAAGTGTAGCGTTTTAAAGATTTCATTCTGAGAAGGGCAGGATGTCTGACAGCGCTGGCCGGAGAGGATCGAAAAAAGTCACTCGGGATCCACATACTGTGAAGTGTCTCCTTCACGTTTTCTCCAATTGCTTGGGTCTTTTTTCAGCAGGCCTGGGTGACTTTCAATAGATACTCAATAGTGCATTTTGGCTTGGTTTGTTGAAGACTTATTCGCTCATCTCTCTGGTCAACATGTGAGTTTTGAGGCCCAGTTTGGCCCTTCCCCAAAGCTCACGTCATGACCCTCCTCTGCCCTGGCCCTAAGCATTCACTGTCCCAAAAGAACATTGAAGTCCTCATCGTCTCCCCCTCCCACAATTTAATCACAATAACACTGTTAAGTGTCCACCACTTACTGTTGATTCTGATAGAGCTCCAGGCCTGTTAAGAGGTAAACCGACACCTTACGAAACAAGCTGTAGTCTTCGTGCCATTTCTGCCCAGAAAGACAAAATGATCAAAATCTACAGGATGCTTCCGATAATGAGTAAACCCAATGACTTCTCGCTCAGCCTCACTCTTCTCTCTCTCATTTCTTTTGCAGCTTTGGATAACTGCTGTCGCGGCTTATTTATGAAGTGCAAGGACTCAAGAGCAACAGCAATGTCTCCCGAGCAAGCTCCTTATTTCGGGACCGTGCTTGCAAATGGCGTCTGCGATCAGACGAGCATCGCTACCAGCCCGCAAGAGTTTCCGCCCTGAACACGAAGCAGCCCAAGCTTGTGGGCTACCATCAACAAAGAGCCGACAGGCAGGGAACACTCAAACACGGCAGCATCATAAATCACCTACTGAAGACCGCAACGCACTATATGCTAGGGTTTTGGAGAAGGAGATGGCATTTATCTGTTTTATTTATGGGCTGCAAGCCTGCCTGAAAAGATGGATCTTCGGCTGTCAGTGGAAGGAGAGAAGGGAAGGGGCCAGCTTGATTGCCCAAGGGGGAGCATCTCATAACCACAGAAAAAGGCCCTTCTCTTGTGTCCCCACCAACCGTGTGTGCTCCTGGCCGTGGGCCTCCTCTGACTATCTTAAGCATCAAGAAGCTTCAGTAGACATGCTTTCTTCACCAAGCTCATTTCGGGACCGTGCTTGCAAATGGTGTCTGCGATCAGACGAGCATCGCTACCAGCCCGCAAGAGTTTCCGCCCTGAACACGAAGCAGCCCAAGCTTGTGGGCTACCATCAACAAAGAGCCAACAGGCAGGGAACACCCAAACATGGCAGCACCATGTATTGAAGACCACAACACACTATATGTTAGGGTTTTGGAGAAGGAGATGGCATTTATCTGTTTGTTTTATTTATGGGCTGCAAGCCTGCTAGAAAAGATGGATCTTCGGCTGTCAGTGGAAGGAGAGAAGGGAAGGGGCCAGCTTGATTGCCCAAGGGGGAGCATCTCATAACCACAGAAAAAGGCCCTTCTCTTGTGTCCCCACCAACCGTGTGTGCTCCTGGCCGTGGGCCTCCTCTGACTATCTTAAGCATCAAGAAGCTTCAGTAGACATGCTTTCTTCATGTACACAGCTCAACATTTTCCCAGCTCAGTATTTCCGATTTTATCCAGGCGTGATGGAGAAGAGATCTCCTACAGCAGTGGTCCCCAATCTTGGCCCTCCAGATGTTCTTGGACTTCAACTCCCAGAAATCCTGGCCAGCAGAGGTGGTGGTGAAGGCTTCTGGGAGTTATAGTTCAAGAACATCTGGAGGCCCAAGGTTGGGGACCACTGTCTTAGAGTACAGGTCCCAGGGGAGAAGAGGCCATAGACAACTCTGTCTCCCAAAGACCTGGGCGTCGTCCAAGGAGCAAACAATGCCTCCAACCCCAGGGGCCCTGGGGATGCCACAAAACCCCAACTGCAGAGATGGTGTGTCCGGATCATAACTGGAAATGCATTTTGGGGACAAATCTTCTTACCTTGTATTCCTCCATGTCCACGTCATCAGGGCCAATCTCCTTCAATTTTGCCTGTGCCACCTTCATAATACTAATTGACCTGTAAACAAAGAGCAAAGCAATGCTCAGAAGCCGAAGTGTCCCAGACAAGAGGTTTTGGTCTCGTTTGCTCTGTTTGCACAAGACACCAACCCTCTATTTTAAGAGGTAGAGAAACATTCTATCACTGGAAGAGGCCTTGTGGGATCGGTTACGGGACATCACCGCTTTTATCTATGAGGAGTTGGTGTGCCAGCTGAAAAAATAAGCAGACTTGCAAGAAAATAGGTAATGTTTAATATGAATCAATACCACCTGACGGCTGAGCATCACTTCCCTTAGAGAGCACTCAAGACGTGCATTTTTAGGATTCTGCCTAAAAACAGGATAGCCCAAATTCAATGACTCTGCACGAAAAGGAGGTGACAAAATAGGTCACACAAAATGGAATGAATGAATTCTATTTTAGAAGTTTCGTTGATGGTAGTGAGTTTTAAATAAACAAACAAGCTTCCTTTTAATTTCATAAGATCTTTCCAAATACGGATAAGAGGATTTTGTTATCATCCAACTTAAAATAGTTAAATGAAGTCTATACAGAGAAAAATACTGCAAGTTATTTTTTTCAGCTTTCCCCCCTTGTTTTTAAAGACGTTATCCGTCGGTGCCTCCCCATTTCATGGAAGAATTTAAGCCCCACCCCTCCCCTTAGGCCACACCCCCTTTTGAGACAGAATCCATTCCCCAAGAGCAGGGGGCCCCCTTGAAACCACAGATCCTGTCCGTGGAGGGACCGGAATATTTCCAAACCATTTCCGGCCGTGCGCTTGCCCACGTCCTCCCGCGAATCTTGACTTTTGTCCCCTTTTATTGGCTCCGAACGAACCTTTCGTCGTAGCTGAGGTTTTTGTCGGCAAACTGCTCCAGGAGGCTCCGCTCCACCACCTGCTTCGGGGCCTTGTTCTGCAAGAGGTAAACTAAGACGTGCTGGAGCCGGGGGTCGTTCTGCGGCGTCGGGGACTCCATAGCCAGCAAGTAGAGCCGGGAATACTCTTCGCGGAATGCCTAGGGGAGCCAAGGATTGGGGTCATGTCACTTCCGCTCGTTATGGACCTCCCCCAATGGCTCCCCACCCTCAATGCAAGGAATAGGCCAAGATGTGAACTGCGTCTGCCCCCCCCCAAAGACGATATCAGGGCAGCCTCGTTCCTGCCTTGTAAGGGATTGGCCCAGAAATTGTGCCTCCGAGCTAGCACCACCTGGCCTTTCTGGGGCAGGAAGGAAGGTCCACATTCTTTGCTGCACCAGCGGTCAAAAGAGTTTCCCTTTTAAGGTTTGTTTAAGCCCACGGTTAACTTTTTACATTCTACGCCTATCGAAGTTTCGCCAGGGAATATCACTGGGGTGCATCCTGTGGTTTAACTTCTAAATGAACACTCAGAATTCTTGTGGTTATATTGCAAGTTTCAGTGGCAAATCAGGAGCCGAGCCTGGTGTAGGTGGCGAGTCAAATTAACAGCCACTCAGAACTCAGGACTTACTTTAAAGGGTCTTTCTAATTGTAGAGAAGATGGAGCACCTCCATCCTCCTAATTTGAGGCCCCAAAGATTCCAGAGACTTCTGTAACCTCAAACTGGGAAGAAGCCCCCCCCTAGCAACTGAGAAATAAACTCAAAAGCCAAAGAAAGCAGCATCTGAACCAACCAGACAGCCCCCTTCCAGAGGAAAAAAGAATGGGGCAAGCTACGATCTTGATTTATTTATTTATTTATTTATTTAATTTATATGCCGCCCACTCTACCCAAAGGTCTCTTGATATTTCACTGATTCTAATGATGACGGGGCAGCCCCGTCTCTCGCATAAAAACACGAGCTTGAAGAGGTCACAAAGTAATTCACTGATTCTAACGATGACGGGGCAGCCCCGTCTCTCGCAAAAAAAACACGAGCTTGAAGAGGTCACAAAGTTCTCAGAAAGGAGGTTTCCAACCCACTTTGGTGTTTCTCCTTGGCCACTTGCCCATGCACATTCTTTGCTGCACCAGCGGTCAAAAGAGTTTCCCTTTTAAGGTTTGTTTAAGCCCACGGTTAACTTTTTACATTCTACGCCTATCGAAGTTTCGCCAGGGAATATCACTGGGGTGCATCCTGTGGTTTAACTTTTAAATAAACACTCAGAATTCCTGTGGTTATATTGCAAGTTTCAGTGGCAAATCAGGAGCCGAGCCTGGTGTAGGTGGCGAGTCAAATTAACAGCCACTCAGAACTCAGGACTTACTTTAAAGGGTCTTTCTAATTGTAGAGAAGATGGAGCACCTCCATCCTCCTAATTTGAGGCCCCAAAGATTCCAGAGACTTCTGTAACCTCAAACTGGGAAGAAGCCCCCCCCTAGCAACTGAGAAATAAACTCAAAAGCCAAAGAAAGCAGCATCTGAACCAACCAGACAGCCCCCTTCCAGAGGAAAAAAGAATGGGGCAAGCTACGATCTTGATAATTCACTGATTCTAACGATGACGGGGCAGCCCCGTCTCTCGCAAAAAAAACACGAGCTTGAAGAGGTCACAAAGTTCTCAGAAAGGAGGTTTCCAACCCACTTTGGTGTTTCTCCTTGGCCACTTGCCCATGGCCATCTGCAAGATGGTAGATACAACATTAGGGACACGGGTGGCGCTGCGGGTTAAACCACCGAGCCACTGCATGGTTGATCGAAAGGTTGAATCCACACAACAGGGGTGACGCTCCCATCACTCATCCCAGCTCCTGCCCACCTAGTGGCTCGAAAGCACACAAATACGGGTTGATGAGCAGGCACTACCTTGGCGGGGAGGTAACTGCGTTCCGTGTCTAGTCACGCTGACCACGGAAAGCGCCTACGGACAAATGGCAACTCTTCGGCTGACAAATGGGGATGAGCACCGGCCCTTAGAGTAGGACACGAATGGGCTTAATTGTCAAGGGGAACCTTTGCCTTTAGATATGACATTAGGTGGTTCTCCGTGAATCTCTCCACCCGGAAAAACAACAATCTTCTCCGGCAGACAAGCTGGAGATTAAATGTAGTGACAGCCCTAACTAACCCCCCAGCAAAGTTGACATCCGCCTCCGAAGATCTGCTTCTTCGCATGCGTCAGGGAGGGACACTTATGTCACACAGATGGCAGCCCCCCTCCAAACTTTGAACAGACCTATTTCATGCAAGGGCAGAAAGACGGCCGGCCCGGGGGGGGGGTTCACCCCACTGCAAAAAACAAACAAACCCATGTGTCCGTATTTAAAGCAGTACCTTCACTAGCCCTGCTTCAGACCCATCTCGATCAAAAGTCTGACGGGCTTTAGCAATAGCGAGGATCACACCTTGCATTGCAGGACTAAGCATCACCTGCCAGGACAAAGAGAAAAGGAAGGAAAGAAGGGAAAAGACAGCTAGCAGCAAAGGAGTTACAGCAAGAGGGGAGAGGATAGGGGCGCATAAAACTAACTCATTCTCGGTTATGCAGCCAGAAGATCGGGTTCTAGCCTGAGGGCTCACCACTCCTTATGGAATGACTCTATTCCCCTAAGCTAACGCTACAGCCTCAGCTACGTCATGTTCATTTTTTTTTTAAACCGGAAAGCCTGTTTCAGCTGCCAGCTTTTACACTGACACCACTCACCCATAGCACACACCCCAGCAATGAGCACTGGCTACACCATGTGGAGACAAACCTGGCCATGCCAAGGTAACTTTTCCCCGGAGAAGGAAACCACCAGGTTTCGCACCACAGCTGTGTATTTTCCAGACTGCTCGAAGGCTTGTGGGCAACCCTTCTGCCCCAGGGGCTCTTGGTTGGAGGGGGGGAAGCCCCCCAAGTTCTAAAAAGAATGAGCAGCGGGAAGCGTCGCAGTGACCCAACAGACGGTGGGAGGGTTTGGGAGGGCCAACTCAGGACAATGCTTTGAGCCGCAGGAGGTAAAATCAACTCTAATGGGGTTGACCCTATAGCTTTCCGTAAGGCAATTGGGTGACCTGGATCAAATGAAATCAATGGTAGATCAGTGGAAAAAAACAACAACACCACGCTCACCAAGTGGGTTTAAAGGCAGGGCTCTCAGAGACCGGCTCCCAATGAGATGCTTTTGGGCTCCAGCCGGCCCAGAAAAGAAACACCAGAGAAGTGGGGAGAAGACCCACCCAGTGAAGGCCAGGCTCCGATTCCTGCCAACGACATTTCCCTACAAAAGCAGCCCCACCCAAAGGCATGCGGCCGTGTACCTCCTCGTCATATCCATCGGCATCCGATCTAACTAGAATCTTTCCCACACTGGGGATCTCCACTTCAGAGATCTGACAGCCAGGCGGGGCGGAAGGCTCCGGGCCCCGAGCCTCCCGAGGTGCCGCTGGCGCTGGTTCCGCCTGAACTGGGAGGTCGGCTCCTTCTGGGGGGAGCTTCGCCGGTTCGGCCTCCTCGGACTGGGGCAGCAGAGAAAGAAGGAAAGAGGAGTCAAGAGTTACGAAGTCAAGGGCCAAGAATGCCAAGAGGAAGAGGCAGAGGGGAGAGGGGAGAAGAGGAAGAGGCAGAAGGGCCGGATCTCGGTTTAGGCAGAAGGCTGACATGGAGAGAGCCGGGACTGTCTCCTCAAGGACTCTTCTCGTACCTTCTCATAAGCGGCCTGCACCCCACCCATCTCGTAAGCCTTGCCCGTCTTCTCAATGGCGAGGGCCGTCTGCTCCCTGGAGATCACGGCGTGTTCCGAGGAGAGGGAGCGCACACTGCTTTCGGGCGAGCTCGATTGTTCTGCAGGCAGAAAATGAAGCACAAGCTGCAGCCCATCTTTGGGGTCTTCGTTATCCGGCCTCCGAGTCTTCAGAGGAAGCAGACCCCTTGGCTGTGTCTTCCCCACCAGAGCTGGGTGGGTTTTGCCCCATGTTTAATGGGGGAAAGCGGGAGGCCGGTCAACCAAGAGTAGGAAAGGGCGGGCGCTGCTCTCACCTTGGATCGAGTCAGAGGAGAGATCCAGAGACTCCGAGGAGGGCGTCGACTGGTCTTTCAGGGGGATCTTGGAGGACTGCTCCTCCCACTCGGCCACCTCCTGCTCCAGCTTCCAGTTGTCCTCCTGGATGTAGCGCCGGAGTGCCAGAGGCAGGGCGTCCACTTCCTTCTGGATCTGCCCTTTGCCATCGTCTACAAAGGAATGACACCTGTGGGAGGCAGGCACTTTCCCCCGCCCCTCCGCCTGACCTCTGGAGCACTTCTTGGGCTCACAGCATCCCCTGGCCATCCCAACAACAGCTAACCTTTGCCGGTTCCTCGTGGGTGGAGCACTCCTTGTCGCCAAAAAGAGGCAGGCCCTGAGATGCTTCCGATTTCTGTCCCACCCACACGCGAGGGGCCTCTTTAGGCATGGAGGCAAAGTGTTCGGCCTCAGAGGATAAGCCGTGGATGAAAAGCCCTGGCCACAGGACAAGGCAACAGAAACCCTTCCCCTGCCCTTTCTGCCTGTGTCTTCTGCTAGTTCCCAAAGCACTGGCCAACTCCTGTGTAAGCCCACCACCACCTCCACCGCACGCATCACCCGATAAGGCTAGGGAAATAGGTTTAACTTTTTTAAAAAAGAGCTGTACATGCTTCCTTTCAGTGCACTGGTGTCCCCAAAGAAGCCATCCTAAAGCAGAGGGCAATGGGGGTTGTCCCCACCCCAAACACACACGTTGTTCCGGACACCTGCATCTCCTTCCTTGAGATTCACAGCCCATCGGCTGTCTTACCCGGCAACAACCTTGGAAGGTGACAGGAAGAGGCCACTTACTCCGGCTTCGAGAGCAGGGGTTCCCCACTGTGGGCAACTCCCCACTGTGTTCTTGGACGGCCGCTCCCAGAAGCCTCCGCCACCGGCTGGGCTGGCCAGGGTTTCGGGGAGCTGCAGTCCAAGAAGACAGTGGGGGAGTTACCCACAGTGGGGAACCTCTGCTCTCGAGGAAAGAAGGGATTCCAGGCCTCCAGAAAAGACAAACCTGTTTCAGAAACAGAGCAGAGGCAGAATCCTCACCTGCAGCAAAGTGGGGCAGCTTCCTGTTGATGTACATCAGGCAGTAGGCGCTGGCGTTTTGCAGGCCCCCAAAGGAGTCCCTCTCCACTTCTTCCCAGGACGACTCGGTCACCGAGATGTCATTGTACTTGAGCCACGTCTTCCGGGGCTGGTGGTGGATGTAGGCCCAATAGTGTCCAGCGTTGGCCTGGCCTTCGTGGACTAAGACGGCGTGCAGATGATACGGGACCTGGGAAAAACAGACACAGGCATCCGCAAGAAGCTGTCAGGTTTTTATTTTTAGCAGATGAAGGAACATGAACCTCTCTGGAGAGATTCCACCAGACATTCCCAGCTGTTGTGCCTCTAAGAGCTACCCGTGCATACAATGATGGCATGGGACGCAGTCACGCCTTGCCTCCTGAAGCAGCCCGTGGCTCTAGAGATCGGCAGCCAGTGCTTCATGGTGGGGGGGGGCTGTGACAAACTTCATGGCCCCTTTTTCGGGTCACACCTACCCGTTTAAGAGCCAGTGTATCAGAAAGAAATTGGAAAAGGAGAGAGAAAACTGAACCACCTCTGCTCCTTTGTATACTTAACACATCTGGCAGAACAGGAGGGGCATGTGCTAGAATGTCACCTGTGGTCTAGGTAGGAGCCTTACTTTAGTGTAGTACTTTGATTCCTTACAAGATGTGCCCTCTCAACTGTTGGCACTCGGCCTGTTTAAAAACCTAGGCAGAGGTTACTGGGACAGGTGGTCTAGTGTTACCTAGAAAGGGTCAGGTTTCCTTGGAAGAAAAAAAAAAGTCCCATCACCGTTATCCTCTTTCCCCCTGCCCTGGGCTATGGGGTCAGACATGCAGGACTTTGCTTTCAAGGAACTCTCAGCCAAATTCAACAGGCCCCAGGACGTCACCAGGCGAGAACTCTTGACCTCCTACCTGCTGGAGCTGAGCGTCCGAGTACATCTGGCCCATGGCCTCGGAGAGCAAGGCGATGGAGTTCTTCAGATCTGTTTAAAAAAACCCATTGAATGCCCACGTTTAATGCGACAGCTCCACCTAGCCACCCAACCTTAAGAAGAAGCCAAGGATGGTTCGGCACCAGCAGGGCGCCTTGAAGCCATTTGGAAAGAGACACGCAGGAGGTGCAGCCGATAACATTCCCCCAAAACGTATGTCTAGCTTTTGCGCTACACATGCGGCAGTTGCACAGCCCTACAAGGAATGACTTAGAATTATAAATCATGGAGTGGGAAGGGGACTCTAAGGCCACTGAGTCCACACACACACACACCCCGCTCAAGGTGAGCATCCAAGTCAAAGGAGACCTGCCAGGGGTGGCAGTTGCACAGCCCTATAAGGAATGACTTACGATCATAAATCATGGAGTGGGAAGGGGCCTCTAAAGGCCATCGAGTCCACACACACACACACACACCACTCAAGGCGGGCATCCAAGTCAAAGGAGACCTGCCAGGGGACTGTCTAAATTTCTCTTGAAGGCCTCTCCAGGGTTCGAGCGCTCACCACCTCCCCATAAGGTCATGGCTGTCTAAATTTCTCTTGAAGGCGTCTCCAGGGTTCGAGTGCTCACCACCTCCCCATAAGGTCATGGGTTCCACTGTTGTACTGCACTAGCAGTTACGTTTTCCCTGATATTCAATCGAATTTTGGCTTCTTGTAACTTGCGCCAAGTTTTCCCTGATATTCCATCGAATTTTGGCTTCTTGTAACTTGCGCCTATTGTTGCGTGTCTTGCACTCTGAGATGATCAAGAACAGATCCTGCACTCCCTCCCCCACCCCCAAATGACAGCCTTTCAAGTATTTGAAAAGTGCTATCATATTACCCCCCTGTATTCTTTTCTCAAGGCTAAACATGCCCAGTTCTTTCAGTCTTTCCTCCAAGGGCTTGGTTTCCAGCTCCCTGATCATCCTTGTCGCCCTCTTCCAAAGTTCTTCCAATTGGTCAGCATCCTTTTTGAAGTGCCTTGTCCAGAACTGGACACAGGACTCAAGATGAGGCCTAACCAGTGCCGAATAGAGGGGAGGTAGAACCTCGTGGGATTTGGAGACTAGACTTCTGTTAATGGAGCCTAAAATAGCATTGGCCTTTTTTGTAGCCACATCATGCTGTTGACTCTTATTCAGCTTGTGATCCACGACGACTCCAAGACCTTTCTCGTTTGTAGTACTGCTGAGCCAAGTATCCCCAGCTTGTAACTGCATATTTGGTTACTTTTTCCTTACACCTAAACCTCGTGGGATTTGGAAACTAGACTTCTGTTAATGGAGCCTAAAATAGCATTGGCCTTTTTTGTAGCCACATCATGCTGTTGACTCTTATTCAGCTTGTGATCCACGACGACTCCAAGACCTTTCTCGTTTGTAGTACTGCTGAGCCAAGTATCCCCAGCTTGTAACTGCATATTTGGTTACTTTTTCCTTACACCTACAGTGCCATGCGTTAAGGCAAAGAAGGCAATGTTGCCCGGCTGGGGGGGGGGATCTGGAAGTTGGCTTCCCAAAATGCAGGATTTCCAAGCTCTCAGGAAGAGTCAAAGGCGACTGAGCCTGCCATTCTGCCAGCATGATGTTATTTGTTACAAACTCAGGCACATGGGGGGGGGGGAGCTAATTCCTAGAACCCAGCTTTTTTTCAAAGAAGAAAACTCAACCTTCTGTCCAAGGACTTCTCGCCCCATATCCTCACAAACCACCAAGTGTGAAACCTGGCATACTTCCACCTTGACCCAGACAACCAGTTTTTCTGTAGCTGCTGCTGCTGCCACACGGCACCTTCCAGCCCAGTTATGATTACTCGATATCCCATCTTTCTGCCTGAAGAAAGCTTTCCAAAGCAGCTGGTTCACAGCAGCGAAATATGTCAAGCGTAAAGACGCAGGCTTCCTTCAGCACCTTTCCTGCCACGACACCCGGCCTGCTCAGCTGAACCAAAGCCTACGGGTTCAACGAGGGGCGTTGGAATCAGCAGTCCCTCAGGGACGCTTATTTTGGCTTCCTCTCTCGTTTCCTCAAGGGCAAGCTAGAAACCAGACACTGGATTCTCTGTGCACTGACCTGCCATGTCTTGCTCGACATCTTCCCTCCATCGCTGAAGACAAGTCATGACAATATTAATGTTGTCCTCTGAGGTAACACGAGGAGCTGGGTATTCTGGCATCTCCACAGAACCTGTGGACGCCCGTAGTGGCCCGTTGGCTTGAGAGACAGCTGGAGCAGAGGCTACGTATTCTGCCCTCTCCGTTTCTGTGACTTTTACACTATGAAACAGACAGACACAAAGCAGTTCAGTGGCTTTTCAGTAAATGGAAACCAACATGCCGCTACTCTTGAGTTCTAGCGGACAACAGTTTGCTAATGTTTATTTTTCTGCCGATTTGCGGAGAATCCCTTAAAAGTAACACAGACAATGATCATGTTTTTTCAGCACTGCCATCTCATTTCTTGTTTAGAGACAACGGTGCTGAACAATCACAACGTTTGCCGTAGGAGAATCAACAGACTTTCAACCAAGCTCTTATCCAGGAAAGAGAAAAATTACAGATAATGACTCTTGTCCGTCAGAAATAGATGAGAGACTAGAAGTGAGTTTTCAGGAAACCGACAAACTATGGCCCCATGACCTTCAAGAGAACAAATAAAGTTTTACCTGCTTTGTGCTGGTGGAGTCTCTGAAGGTTGGCACTCAACCTGGGCTTCCGTTGGTGCTGAAACCTGGGTGCTGAGCACACCAGGAGAGGACCGGGTGCTTGCAAATTCCAGTACGTACTGCAGCATGTCTGGCAAGGGGAAGCGGGTGGAGCCAGACCCATACCTCATGTACCTAAAAATGGTCAAAGGCGATGGTTATGGCCACCTCTCCCACATGTGGCTTGGCACATCGCTACAAACCTGTGCTAACTGGATCAAAAAAGCCATTGTGGTGGAGCGGATAGCATGATGAAGAAAGACCTGGGTTCAAATCCCTGCTCGGCCATGGAAATCCACTAGACAGTGGCCCTGGCAAACCAAGCCTTGAGCATCTCAGATACCGCAGAACCCCTGAGGGTCATGGCAAGAGAGATGCAACTTAATGGCACGTAAGACAATTATCAAATTCCAAAGAGACAGGGTTTTATTAAATAAGATTAGTCACAAAAAGGTTTTTTTTGCCTGCCACACACTGGCATCTACTAACCATATAAAGGGTTCCCCTTGACATTTTTAGTCCAGTTGTGTCTGACTCTAGGGAGCGGTGCTCATCTCCGTTTCCAAGCCGTAGAACCAGCGTTTGTCCAAAGACAGTTTCTGTGGTCACGTGGTCAGTGCGACTAGACACAGAACACCGTGACCTTCCCACTGTGGTGGTACCTATTTATCGACTTGCCTTTTTACATGCTTTCGAACAGCTAGGTTGGCAGGAGCTGGGACAAACGATGGGTGCTCACTTTGTCACGTGGATTCGGTCTTACGACTGCTGGTCTTCCGACCTTGCAGCACAGAGGCTTCTGCGGTTTAACCCACAGTGCCACCACGTCCCACTGCTGACCACATACACTGCAAGTAAAAACTACTTACTTTTCCAGTTTCTGCTGAAGACCTGCTATCTGATCTTTCAGTTTCTTGATCTCTTCTCTCTTGGCTTGGACAAGCTCCTTGTTACTGTACAGGAACCTAAAGAAATATATTTCTGAGCCATGAATCTTTTCCACTGGCCCATACACCCTCTCGCCACACCACTATAGCTCAGTGGTTGAGGCCTCTGGCTGTGGAGCCAGAGGTTGGGAGTTTGATTCCCCACAGCTGCCTCCTTGATCCATTGGGTCCCTTTCCAGCTCTGCAGTTCCGAGAAGATTCTAAGATGATCCACTATTTTTATAGGAGGCTTTGAAAGACACAACGAGTGGACTTTTTCTGCACCACCTTACCTGTCCATATAAATGATCTTTGGGAACTCTAACTTGTTGTGGATCTTCTCTGGCTGTCCAATGGACTGATTGAACTCGAATCGGGAAAGTTCAAAGGTCAACACCGGAGGAAGCTTCGTAAACCAGCGCTGGGACAAAGAAAATAAATAAATAAAATAGGTATATTGGCTTTCAAAGTGGCTTTCTAATCTAGGAGAACGTCAAGCTACAACGCCTTTATTTATTGATGCAGAACACAAAGCCACATCTAATGATTTTAAATACTTAGACCACTGTATCTCACCCACAACTATTAGACCTCATTCACCTATGTGATTTACCCAGAATAATCCAGAGGTTGGGCCTGTATTCAATCATTTGGTACACAACTAACGATTACCACCTCTTCAGAGACAATTTCTACTAAACATTGGTCAAAAGGATTTTCCAGGGCAATGCTAAAAATATCTTTGAGCCTCTCCCAAAGGTACCTAGCTTTTTGTAGACCTCTACTGTCTGCGGCTAGACAGGTCTTCCGCGTTGGCGTTTGTGCCCTCGCCTCAGAAGGATCTGCCTCAACCTGAGCTGTCCTGGCAACTTAACGGCTGCTTAAAATGGCGCAAGAAGCTCTACCCCTCAGCCAAGTTTTACCCCAGGGGACAGGGGCTTCCCAGGGCGTGTGTACTGTGTGTTTCAAATGGATTGTCCTACCTTCCCTCCTTGGAATGTGTTTTTGGTGTCGCTGCTGCTCACCATCTTTTAGTATAGCATTTGTTTGTTCTCTTTAAAATATCTTCATACATACTGTGCTTAGCTTTAAATATTGTCTTTTAATGATGAACGCTGCTTTTGTATACCGATTGTTTCTAGCTATAAATATTGTCTCTTGATGAAATGAGCCACCTTGGGTCTTTTAAGAAGGTGGGGTTAAAATATTTTAAATAAATAAACAGAGCACAACATCTGCTCCCACAAATGTTGCCTATTTTCAACAAAAGCCAACACAAAGACTCCAGATTCCCTACCACCATTTTAGGCTCACCAGAGCTGATAATTAGCTTGAGGGCAGCAGCCTCGGAAGATCTATTTACCGGATTCCTGTACAGATTCCTACAGTTCTGTGGAGTTTCAGGTAAGAAACACCTCAGGTTCCCAAAGCAAAAGGAGAAGGTGATTCTCTTCAGCTTTCGGATCCCCTACCTTAAAATTCTGGGAAACTATATGACAAAACATCTTTGTCTAACAGCCATTTTAACCTTTCTATATATTTTCCGAACTCTGTGCTGTGGGCATAAATCTCCTCACTTTTGCTGGTTGAAACTCTACCCCCACCCACCCCCCAGCCACCTTCTTAAGCAGCCTTCCTTCCTACGTATACTTTTCCACGTGCATTTTCATAAAGGGAAATTCTTGGTATGTAGCCTAATAGGACTCCGGACAGCTTACAAATATAGTTGAGATAAGCAGCACACGGCTGGCCCCATGAATTCAACTCGGAAGGAAGCACCCCAAAATCAGCAGAGGCAGAAGACTTTGTTAAAATGATTGGAGAGAGAAATATAATATAGAGGAAGAGGAAAGGGACAAATTTGTATATATATGTATAAAAAAAGCATACCATTAAGTTAAGAACTGTATTTTACCCTCCGAAAATATGGAGGCAGGGGCTCTTCCCACCCTACTCAGGTACGGGTAAAGCTTCAACAGAAAGAGAAACACTTTTACCACACTCGCTCTTCACAAGACTCGTTTACAAGTCAACCCCTGACACCGATGAGCTGCCACAGCGATTTTACCCTCTTAGCAAGCCAGTTGACCTTTCCCGTCAGCCCCTACACACTTCAAATTGATTGCACCCCCACGGCAATTTTTGCTCGCCCAAGATTTTACACTCTCGTAGTTGTGTCTCATCAATTCTGCTTGCAGGCAAAAAGAAAAAAAGCACAGCCGTCTGCAACTCACCTCTTGTCCGTACTTCACTGACTGATTGGGCGAGGATCCGGCCTCTTTCTCCACCATGGCTCCTTCCAAACACTCGATCAAGTTTTTATAGCAGTTCACCTGCAGAGGATACTGGCCAAAGGTCTCTATTTTGGAAAAAGTTTTACCTGAAGATGAAGCGGTGGGAGGGAAAAAAAAACCATCAGTGACTGATTAAAAACAAAAAAGAAAGAAGAATTTATTTGAAAACATGGCTGCAGAATCTTCTAAGTATTTATTCATTCGTCTCTCTTTGCCTGGATTAGCACCAAAATGAATGACAAATATGGGGATACCACGATTACATGATCTGGGTTCCTGCGATACGTATTTCTTCTAGCCCAAATTTTGTATTTTAGGAGGAAAATGTTTTCCAAAGAAATGAGACACACGGCTCAGCTTTGGTCGCTCTTGAGCATGGGAAGCTGCCTTACTGAAGGAGGCGCCCATCCTTCAAGCAGGGACAACGGGCAGCACACGACCCAAAGCCCTTTCTAACTCTCAATGGAAAAGACTCGACCCAGGATCCCCTTTCCCTTGAAATGGCCATCCTGTGCCGAATTCCTATAATTTTTTCCTGACGGCAACAGTAGCCTAAGGCCCTGGGAACGTCGGAGAAGGCAGGTCCATGATCCGCAGTATGAACAGGCAAAACCTCTCTCACTCACTCTCCTTTGCCCTCCACTGGGAAGGTTATGAGCCTGCTTCCATGTTGCCTCCTTGAAATAAGAAAGAGATGGGAAAAGTTCACATGGGAAGGGCTGTCCTGTAGAAGACGGGGAGCCAGCTTGTTTTTCTCCAGCTGAGGAGGGAAGGGCACCCAGGGGCAGATCCAAGTTACAAGCAAACATGTGGACTAAGAACAGCTGGACAGCTCGGGGCGTTTAAAGCATCTGGCCGGGGAGCCAGAAGTTGGGAGTTCAAATGCCCGCGGTGTCTCCTTGAGAGGGGCTGGACAGAGGGTCCCTTCCAGCTCTGCCGTTGTTCAAAGGTTATTATATTATTAAACATTAGGAGGAACCTCCTGAGAGCAAGAGCTGTTCAGCAGTGGGAGGAGAGAGAGAAGCTTGTCTTTCCTTGGAAGTTTTTAAGGAGAGGTTAAAGGGGCCACTTCCAGGTCCCCTGCTTTAGGGACGGGCAGGGATCGGTGGCCCTTGGGGATCCTTTCCAGGAGCTGTTCAGGGAGGAGAGAGAGAAGATTGTCTTTCCTTGGAAGTTTTTAAGGTTAAAGGGGCCACTTCCAGTTCCCTTGCTTTAGGGACGGGCAGGGATCGGTGGCCCTTGGGGATCCTTTCCAGCTCCATCGTTCTATGGCTCAACAGATCTCGGATCGGGCCACAACTCTCTCTGATGCTATTGCTGGCAGAACATATCTGCAACGGAGCAACACCCGGCTACGGAAAAAATATCCAACAAAAAGGCGTTCATCACGCTCTGGCAGCTTACCTTCGTGAATACCTTCGGTTAGGTAAGTCCCGTAAAAAAGCTGAACCATCGGGTTCTCAGATTTATCCTGGGAGCTGCTGCTTCAGACAGAAGAAGGGAGAGAGAGAGAGAATGACAGTGAGCTGAAATTGCTGGATGCAATGCCACTTTTGGGGGAAAATTCACCACCCTTCTGCTTTCTTTCCACCGAGTTCAACTGTCCACCATGCCAATCTACTGCAAACCACCCACAGATTTATCAGCAGATCATTATGAAGACTCAGACGGTCCCTGCAGGACAGATCCCCCCCATAGTACAAGTGGGAGATCCATGACAGCGAGCTGAGATCGCTGGATGCAATGCCACTTTTGGGGGAAAATTCACCACCCTTCTGCTTTCTTTCCACCGAGTTCAACTGTCCACCATGCCAATCTACTGCAAACCACCCACAGATTTATCAGCAGATCATTATGAAGACTCAGACGGTCCCTGCAGGACAGATCCCCCCCATAGTACAAGTGGGAGATCCCTAGCCCCCAACAGCCCATTCCATTAGACGAGCCTCTTCTGTAGCCTGAAATGGCACAATTCATTGTGAGAGCGAGGCTTCAGAGAGCCATGCTCAACACAATACTGTAAGATTAAAACCTCAACGCTCCCGACTCTCAAACCTGAGTATACTGAACCTTGGTATGGAGTCATGATTCACAAATTTTAATGGCCAACTTAGTTACAAAGTCAGTGATGTTAAAACACAGGGGATCATGGGCCCTTGAACAGAAAGTGGCTAACACACAAGTTACTTTATTCGGAGGATGCCCTTTTTGCCTAGGGGAAAAAATGTTCACGTACCCAGTGGGAGCTGCCACATTTTATTTTAATTAGGATCTTAATCTGAGCCCCCAAACAGGATAGCAGGATGGTGTAAGAAACAGTTCTATTTCCTCACTATTAACTTAGCATTAACACGTGTGTTCCCTTTCGTGTCATTTACTAAACCCAGTTAGGAAGCAGAAGTTCCAAGAGGACTCACTGAGCATTCACAGTCAGCTGGAAAGCATCTTCCAACCAGTCCACTCTATTTCTTTGCAGTTAACAGCGTTAACACATGCGTTCCCTTTTGTGTCATTTACTAAACCCAGTTAGGAAGCAGAAGTTCCAAGAGGACTCACTGAGCATTCACAGTCAGCTGGAAAGCGTCTTCCAACCAGTCCAGAAGCTTGTGAGTAAATTCGCTCACGTCTTGCTGGAAGAAAGCCAGAGACCTCCAAATTAGTGTAATTTTGTTTTTATCACCTGCTTTTTATAAACAGCTAGCACAATGGTTTTACAGTTTGGGTTTCAACATGTATATCCATCCATCCCATCCATTCTCCCATCCATCTAACTGGCCACCTTTCTCCACAGCCTCAATTGACGTAATGTTGCACATTGAGGAAAACAAGCTACAAAACTGATTAAAACAATTAATAATTTAAAACAAGTACTGAAAGCTCAAAGTCTCTGCCAGAGGCGAAGTAAGTGAGAATGTGGTTCTCCATGGAGCCCTAAAGAGTTTTCACAGCACCCCTGTGAGATCTGAGATTATGAAAAGCAGCCTGGATGTGGACAAGTTCCTGCCTCGTCCAACGGCCTGCTCTTCCCAGGATGTGGGCCGATGGCCACCAAGCAGCCACCGAGGCCACGCTAGTTCTGAGAGCGGCCTGATGGACAGAGCTGCCAATCCAAAGCCGGGCCCGTGTCTCGCCGCCACCGCTGCCACCGGCTGTTCCCCAAGACAGTGGCCGCACTAGGCAACTCTGGATAACCGGACTCCCTTGGGCTCACCTGCTGCTCCTCGGGAGACCTGAAGGCGCCCCTAAGCATTTCCAGCGCCGTCGTCGGATCTACAAACTTACGGGATGTTCCCAGCATTAAAGCAAAGAGATACTGGAGCTCCTGCATGAAGGCAATGTTCCTTTTCTTCTACGGAAGAAACAAAGCACAACAATTGGGTTGGCAGAGTCCCTCCTCCACTTTGTTTTACTGTGTTTAAATCGCCCTGCAATTATTTTAAATCTTGAACTTGCTCTGGTTGTTTGTGGTCACCCCGAGGCCTCCCACAAAGGGCAAGAAAAGAATCATCATTCAAAGAAATGTGGGCCAACTCTTCCTCTAACAAACGCTAGCCTCCCCCACCGTGGCGGAACAGTTGGTGAATAACGTCCGTTATGCAAAGAGGTTGTGTCTTCACGCCACATTTTCTGGACTATCTGTAGGCAGTTTATTTTGGGGGTCTGATTCGTTGAGCAAACGCACTGGGCGCTCACGCCCCTCTGGGCTTTGTCGCCGTCCAGACTCTGTGCGTCAATGACTAACGAGTGGGATCACGGGATCAGTGACTGCACGCAGGGAAAAGGGGAAGACAGGTGCTCCCCTTCTGCAGATCCACCCACACAAAGATCCAACTCCAGTCTTAGGCCACGACCGGATATCAGGATAAGAAAAGAAGGGCTTGCTCCGGATGGCTTACACTTCGGCTGTGGCAGTTTTCAAGGACACCCTCTGGGACGGAGTAGCTGAGCACCAAGCGTCGGAATTCCGGCAGCTGGAAAAGAGACTGACGAGAGAAACCCCGTAAGTGAAAACCTCATCTCGAAGGATCAGAGCAAGACCGCCATCGGCCCTCACATTCGGCTCACCAACAGAATTTGTCACTCGGCATTCATGGCTGTTCCAAATGTTATTTCCCAAGCAAAAGCAGAGGAGAAAACACTCTGCTGACCAACTGTCCCCTCTGAAGGGAGTCTATTAGGTATAGAGGAGCAAGTGTGCGTGTGTGTGGTACCCATATGCTTAACTCTGCCGCCAAATGAGATTCAGACAATAATTCTTTCATCCAGTGGTGCCAGATCCTCTCAAACCCTTATATTCACAGAATCATGATATAATTGAGTTGGAAGGGGCCTAGAAGACCATCCAGTCCAACCCCCCTGCTCAAGACAGGAATTCAAATCAAAGCAGGTCTGACAGACGGTGGTCCAGTTTTCTCTCCAAGGCCTCCAGCATTAGTGCTTTCACCTCCTGCCAAGGCCATTGTTTCCACTGTTGTACTACTCTAACAGTTAGGAAGTTTTTCCTGATCTTTAGCCTAAATCAGACTTCCCGTTGCTTGAGCCCATTATTATGTATCCTGCACTCTGGAATGATGGGGAACAGGATCCTGCCCCTCCTCTGTAGGGCTTCCTTTCAAGTCTTGGAAAAGCGCTATCCCATCTCCCTGCAGTCTTCTCCTCTAAAGGCTAAACAGGCCCCATTCTTTCAGTCCTTCCTCATCGGGCTTGGTTTCCAGTCCCCCAATCATCCTGGCTGCCTTGTAAGTGAGAAGGTGACTCGTGGGACTGTTAAAGCTTCAGATGCCGTCCCTCGCCTCCTCGCAGGTGGAGACCAAAGGGTGTTAAAGCCCCAGACAGAATTTCAACGGGACATCCATTTCAACTGCTCTGTCCTGGAAATGGACCCGAAATGCAGCTAGGACATGTAAGCAGAAGCCACAGCACTATTTGCAATGGCCACCAATTGCAGTCCCAAGCAGAAGCCGGCATACGTTAAGGCAAGGAAAGACAACGCCTACCCACCCAGCGAGCACCCCCCCCCACGTCAGCCTAGGCGCACGATGGCTGGAAACCCGAGCAGCACCCCCTTACCTGTATGACTGCACTGAACCAGCAGGTGTTCCCGATATTTCTCAGCCCCACCGGCCATTCGGCCACTCTCTTCCAGTCATTGGGGTAAGGAGGCTCTCCCCAGACTTCACACCCTTTCCAGGATGCTCTCCCCACACTTCACACCGTTTCCGTTTGGAGCGGTTTGTGCTTTCCGCTACGCTCAGCTCACAGGCCCTGCCGGGAATCATAAGCCAACAGGCGATCACGGAGGAATTGTGCTGCATCACAAGCGCAACTAAGGTCAAACCCACAACAGGCTCCCACACACACACCGTGTTCCAGATGAGAGGGAAATTGCTCTGAAAACAGTCTCTCTCTTTGCCTCCCCATCAAAATATTGCTATGGTTGAAAGAGAAGCCGACCAGGACAAGAGGAGGGACTCCTGATCAGGCCCCTCTTCTGTGGGGCTCGGATGTAGGGCCAAACTTCCGTTTCAAGCATCGGACTGCAAACGATGCTCGACCCAAACCCAGTCTGGGGAAGAAACAAGAAGACAGTCGCTCCTCCCCCTGCAGAAACCAGGTTGCTAAACCGATGCACACAACAGAAAAGGGGGGTGGGGTGGAGAAGCACAATTTAGCATACCCATTCCCGGCTGTGTTGGAATCCTTGTCTGCGACCACGCGAGCGCTCAGGAAATTCTGGTCTCCAGAAGGAACGGCGGCCTGAAGAACCGTTTTGCAGTCTTGCGTTCCCTCTACCGGACCTGGAATGCAAGGTGACCGCGATTCCCTAGGAAGCCTGTGCCAAACCTCCTCAGACAGAACCAGAGAAGGAAACACCGTCTAGGATGATCGGACACCCAGCCTCGCGGTCGTGCAAGGCCACATTCCGATCGCCACCCTAATTCGCAGCCTCCCGTGTGCAAAACACAATCTGGATGGGGTTTGCAAGAATACCACCGGAAAAGGGCCGTTTGAGGTCCATCCAAGATTCAAACCAGACCGGAACACAACCTCCCACAGATGGCCTGGTCTTTAGATTAGAAGGGGAGCCCCGTCTGACTGGAGGCCGGCGCACAGCTCTGAACTGCAAATTTAGAGAGCCAGGAAAATAAGTTGCACGCAAACACTAACATGCAAGCTCACTTCCCATTTAAGGTACCTCCCTTGTTGTTGTTCTTGTGTGCCGTCAAATCACGCCTGACTCATGGTGACCCAACGAAGGAGCCATCTCCAAAATGTCCTGTCCTCAATTGCCCTGCTCAGCTCTTGCAAAGTCAAGCCTGTGACGTGGCCTCCTTTAGGGAATTTGTCCATCTCGTATTGGATCCTCCTCTTTTCCTGCTGCCTTCCACCTTTCCGAGCACGATGGTCTTTTCCAGAGAACCCTGCCTTCTCACAACTTGCCCAAAGTAGAACAGGCCCAGTTTATTAACTGGTGACAGAGATATCACAGTTGGAGGCCAAGGGTTACCTACCTGTGGCCCACTGTTGGCTAATCGCACTGCCTTGGTGGCCGGTGGTTGCCTCTGCTGCTTGGCCTGACTCTTTTGCGTGCCTCTCCGTGAGGAAGCGGACTGCCTGCATTAGGTTCCCATCAGCAGCCTGTGGACGAAGGAGGAGGCAACATTTGCCACATAGCAGGATTATAAAGCTGCGTGGGATCAGCTCTCTCAAACTGCAGCACACCCACTGTTTTTCTGGAATAGGAGCCAGGGTTAAGACTTAAAGGAAAACATCCTTAATTCAGATCTTCCACTCTGCCTGCAGAGAGAGCAACAACTTCACAGGAGGGCAAGGGGAAAAATAAAAATACAGTGATGCCTCGCTTAATGAGTGCACCGTATAACGACGAATTCGCATAGCGATCTCTTTTTTGAGATCGCTAATGCGATCGCATACCGATGGTCTCTATGGCCAAAAATTGCATTGCGACGATTGGTAAGCGTTTCGCTTACCGATCTTCGCATTCTGATGTCGGGAAATCAGCTGTTCGGCGGTTCCAAAATGGCCGCCAGACGACCCCAAATGGCATTTTCGCACCCTGCCCTCACTTACCGAGGGCGCGAAAATGGCGGCGCTATGAGGAAACATCGCTTAACGGTGAGTTTAGAAGCCATTGGAACGCATTAAACTAAATTTAATGCGTTCCTATGGCCTTTTCCTATCCATATAGCGATATTTCCCCATAGCGATGGTTAATCCGGAACGGATTAACCTCGCTATGTGGGGCACCACTGTATATGGAATCTGAAAGAGTTTAAGAGATGACATAGATATTCTGTCACACCTAATATAAACACAGTAGCATTGACCCCTAGCTTTTGGAGCTGCTAGTTATTTTGTCTGCATCAGCACCAATTTTTGTGGTTCTCTATGCATTAAAAAATCCAGCTAATCCAGCCAGATTAGTTCCTTCTTTAAACATGCTGGGGAAAATGGCACAAGGGAGGGAGTAGTAAAAGCGTAACTCTATACCCATAACAAGGCAAGACCCACGGTGCAGCCCGTGGCATCTGGAGCCCTGTAGCGGCTGGTTCGGATCAAGTTCAGCAGGTGCCTCCACAGGCCAATGCACAGAAGCCAAGCACTCTTTCCTTTACACACCTGCGTCCATGCAAGCCAATGCAAGACCCCCTACAGACGGCACTCCCGGAGGGGCTGCCTCACTACTTGAATGGTGCCTGTCTTCAGGGACCGGACCTCTCCTCCCACTGATCACCGTCACTGAATCCACACAACAAATGTACAATTTCCCCTGTGAAGCTGATAATGCAGGCATAGCGTACAGAACCAAAGAGTAACAGACTAGGAAGGGGCTTATGAGGCCAGAGAGTTCAACCCCCTGCTCAAGGTAGGAATCCGAATCACAGCAGAACGGAGAGATGGCGGCCCAGTTTTCTTTTGAAGGCCTCCGGCGTCAGAATATTCCCCACCTGCCCTTGAGGTCATGGGTCCCATTGTCCTACGGCTCTAACAGTGTGTCCTGAAGCCAGGTATCACGGTGTATATGGATCTATGTGTCTACAGAGTCATCCAGACCTCCCAATTAAGCATCCCGTCTCACTCAAAAGTTTGCAGACTCCCAACAATGTTAGGCGTGAATAAACAGAATGCAAACTCTTCCACGTTGGGCCTTATTTTAAAACATGGTTGAAAAGAAAAATCCTAGCTAGAATCAATAATAATGAGCCCAAATACCCCTTTAGCCAAAGTGAAGGAGTAGGGGCAGGGGGGCAGGCTGCGTATTTATGCCACCAAAAAGCAACAGCAGATGCTACCGGACATATAAGGAGGCCATGGAATTTGCAGGGGTTTGGTGAGCAGCTATTTTAAGCTGGCTGCACATGCCTTTTCGGTTTGTCATTTCACATTTGCAACAAGGTGCCGGAGACACACAGCACGCCCGGGCCCACGCCTCAAACTGCCCTGCAACGGGGGCGAGTTCCTGGCGCTTTGGGGAGGTTTGCCTTTCTGAGCTTTTTTAGAGATCCGAGGGAAATGAACAGTACAACAGTCACCAGATCATAATGGCCGAATACAAGATTTCATTTCAAGCACCCGTCTATGCTTCTACGCAGGTCACATACCCTCTTTGGGGGGGCAAGATATATAAAAATCAACTCCCACGCCCCCTTAATTCTCCAAACTTTTAAAAGGAGGACAGACACTCAGTTCTTTAGAAACATGAAAACAAGCACCCCAAAATTCACAACCAAATCTTCCTGCAGGGTGGACGGCATCTCTGTGGCTCTAGAATATTTTTTGGGGGGGAAATGCAATTTTCAGACCATAATCACCAAACGAGGCACTTCACCAAACAGGTGCCTTCTCTAAAACAGCTCCTGCTTCTTCCCCATTGAGCTTCGATACCTGGGCAGAAATGAAGTAAGCCATTTGATAATAGGAGGGGGGAAAAAGTGATATGGGAACAGGTGTTCCCAAGACCTATGTCCCATCCAGGACCATCAAGTCTGGTTTTTAAGGGGTGGCTTTGCTCCCCATGACCCCCCGAGCGTGGCCACGAGCCACAGAAGGACCCACACCTACAAAAGCCAGCCTTTTCCATGGGATTTTGCTTCCGTGCTATTTACACACAGTTCAAATGCCCTACGCAGCAGAACGGAGATGGCGGCCCAGTTTTCTTTCGAAGGCCTCCGGCCTCAGAATATTCCCCACCTGCCCTTGAGGTCATGGGTCCCATTGTCCTACGGCTCTAACAGTGTGTCCTGAAGCCAGGTATCACGGTGTATATGGATCTATGTGTCTACAGAGTCATCCAGACCTCCCAATTAAGCATCCCGTCTCACTCAAAAATGGTGCCCCCCGCCCAATATTCAGGCATGTCCACAATAAAGTGCTTTGGCTCAAGCAAGGGGGGGGGTCTTCTCCCGCTTAATACCTGCAAAGCCTCAACCAGGTCAGCAGGATCGCTTCCAGCCCTCGGGGGCTCCTCTAACCCGGGGTGATTTGGAGCATCTTAGGAGAGAAGGTTGTTTCTCTTTTACCTCCCTAGGGAGTCACGGCTTCCTCCCATCTATGTCAACAGCAACAAAGACCTGGGTCCACTGGAGGGGATTTTTTTTTTGGGGGGGGGAATCCAGCCACCCTCTTCTCTGGTTCTCAAGGCAGGAAGGTTTTGAGACAGGCCTGCTTCTGTCGGCCAGAGACCTCCAAGGGATTCTAGGTGGACGCCAGGGAGGATGCATCGGGGCCACCTGAACCCAAGCTATTGTCGGGACCCCCTCAACCCCCCCACCCTTGCTCAAGAGGAGGCAGCCGGCAAAGGGAGAAAGGAGGAGGCCAACGAGGCACCGGCTGAAGAACCTACAAGAACCCCATTCAGAGACTCAAACCCT